GTCCTGCCTATACCTTCTGACTAGATATTGGCCATACATCTCGTCATTAAACCAGTCACAGCAACATATCACAGTGTACAATATCCCACAGCAGTCTTGGCCCCTGGTTTCCCCTTCTTAGAGACACCCTGAGGTGTCCTTCAGTTTGATCCTTTTTTACCAAGTCCGGTGGACACACCTTGTGCCTAGCCACTATCTGGTGAGTGTCAATAGGCTCTTAGTACCACTTCATATGCTCATGCCATGAAATCTCAGCACACTGTAACACATGAGGTTTAAAGAGCTTCCTCGTCTTCACCAAGTTAAGGTGCTTGCCACCAAGCCTGCCAATCTGGGTTTGATCCCCAGAATTCCCATGGATGGACAGCGCTGTCCTCTGACGTCCACATACAAATCGTGGCACATGTACCCTCCCACCTGACACATAAGCTCAGACCCAACCAACTCACATTCACATAAGCTGTGGGGCTGACACCCGGATCCAGGGACTAAGCGCTCCGACTCCCCAGTTCTGATCCCCGAATCAGTAACCTTCCCGACTCTGCTTAGTCATTTAATCGTGTCCTTTTCTCTCTCCCATCCCTTTCCACCCCCTCTCCTGGGGCAGCCATCTCTTTAAGCCAGCCACCCTGCACATTAAACCCCCGCCCGTGTGCGCTGTCGCTTCAAGGGCCACGTTATCAGCTCTCAGTTACATCCAGTATCCATTCTAGGTTCCATCAGCTGTAGCCATGCAGGGCCTGGCCACAAGAGCCATCCTGCCCGAGCTACTCGAACCTGTGCGGTGAACTCCGTCATTCAGTCCGCTCTATCATCCACCTTGATTCTTGCAACAAATACAATTTTTCTGACATTAGCCTACATCCAGAACAAACAGCTGGTTACCATCACATTGCTGATGTTGGCGACTCAGATAACACCCACCTCAGAGTCAATGCTGCCCTGGTGTCCCTTCCTCAGACCCTAACTGCCACATTGATGTCATTTCCCATTGGCCCCAGGATGAGTTTCGCTAACCATTGTTCCTTCCCGGCCCTTCACAGATCTGCCCCCTGGCTCTTTCTCTTAACCCCCTCTCCTCTCCATATTACTCAACATCTGGCTCAGGTATCATCCCCTCTTGCAAGTTTTCTACAACTTCGGGATCTTCCATGGGCTCCCTCTCCCCATCTCGGACTCACACTTCCTTGGCAAAGCTTCCCCACATGCCCTCCTCGTGGCGATGGGCCCTCCAGTCCTGCTCCTCTCTATGGAGGATCTGTAGTGCTACCTGGACAATCTCTAAGAGCAAGCCTCCGTCGGTTCAGCTCATCTTCAGGTCCTTCCGCTTAAAACTGTTCAAGTCTCTCATTCCTGTGCTCATTTGCTGCCTTTCATAGTTACCTTTGTCAGAGATGTCCAGTTCCCTCTTGCCTCCCCAGTTCTGTGGGCCCTTCCTCAGCCCCACCCCAACCTTCCAGCACACGAGGTGCTCACACAGGACACCATGGGCTCTATAACTCAATTGGAGCCTCACCCTGGGCCATCACCATGGCCCCACAAAGCCCCTCTTCCCTCTTGGTCATCAGCTGACTGAGGTCTCCCACAGGATTGCATCACTCTTTAATCTCACTACAGACTCAATCGCAGAATGAATTGTAAAGCAATGTTTCTCCTCCTAAACACCAACCACACTTCTCATGTACTTTATGCCTCAGGCTCTATCCTGCTGTCTTACACACTGTTCACAATTCTTTTCCCGCATATTCTTCTTTACTGTGTATCATAAATGCTTTCAAATGCATATTTATCAGCTGGGTGTGGTGGCACTGTAACCCTGGCACTCAGGAGGCGACAGATGGATGACCAGTTTGAAACCAGCCCAGACTTTAAAAAAAGCATATAAACAACCCTTTTAGAAAGCAAATACCTATTTTTTCAAGTGCCATTATAATGTCAGGGGACAGTAGAGATACCTATATCACAAATACATAATCATGTAATTTCCATCCTCTAGGGACATCAATATTATTAAAGACAGGTTGACAAATAACCGTAGCCAGGGGACTAAGAGTAAATAAATCCCCTAGGTGGGGTGTAGATCACTCACAACTATGCATTTCCAGATTAAGTTGGCTGGCCGTAATAGACAGGCCCTTCAACCAGACCTTAAGACTCCAGTGACAACTGGGTTGCAGAGGGGGACTGCTGGGAGGTGGGTGGCAACTGAAGGAAAGGGCGTATTTCCCCGCAGCCAACAGTATCAAACATGTTCTATACAAATGAACATTTGACAGATGCCATCTGAGCCCTTGCAGTTACCATACTTTACTACATAAACTGGCAACTTAGTTTTGCTATTTCTTCCCCAAAGACAATATTTATTATATTATATAATAAATGTTCTTGCAGAACTTTTTCCATAATGTGCTTTATTTAATGATATAAATTGTTCAAGGTTTCTTCCCACTTTCTCTTCTATCAGGTTCAGTGTATCTGGATTTATGTTGAGGTCTTTGATCCACTTGGATTTGAGTTTTGTGCAGGGTGATAGACATGGGTCTATCCGCAATCTTCTACATGTTGACATCCAGTTATGCAAGTACCATTCCCTTTTCCATTGTATCATTTTGGCTTCTTTGTCAAAAATCAGGTGTTCATAGGTGTGTGAGTTGATATCAGGATCTTCAATTCAATTCCATTAGTCCATCCACCTGTTCTTATACCAATACCAAGCTGTTTTCATTTCTATAGAGCTTGAAATCAGGGATGGTGATGCCTACAGAAGTTCCTTTATTTTACAGGATTGTTTTGACTATCCTGGGCTTTTTGTTTTTCCATATAAAGTTCAGTATTGTTCTTTCAAGGTCTGTGAGGAATTGTGCTGGGATTTTGATGGGTATTGCATTAAAGCTGTAGATTGCTTTTGGTAAGATTGCCATTTTTATTATGTTTATCCTATCTATCCAATAGCATGGGAGATCTTTCCATTTTCTGGTATCTTTTTCAATTTCTTTTTTTTAGAGATTTAAAGTTCTTGTCATACAGGTCTTCCACTTGTTTGGCTAGAGTTACTCCAAGATATTTTATATTTGTGGCTATTGTGAAAGGTGATGTTTCTCTGATTTCTTTCTCAGCCCATGTATCATTTGTATATAGGGGGCTACTGATATTTTTGAATTAATCTTCTATCCTGACACTTTACTGAATGTATTTATCAGTTGTAGGTAGAGTTTTTTTGTTGTTGTTGTTGTTTTTTGTTTGTTTGTTTTGCGGTGGGGGATCACTTGTGTAAACTATCATATCATCTGCAAATAGCAGTAGTTTGGCTTCCTCCTTTCCAGTTTGTAACCCCTTGATCTCCTTCTGTTGTTGCTATAGCTAGATCTTCGGGTAGTATATTGAAAATATATGGAGAGAGTGGACAGCCTAGCCTTGTTCCTGATTTTAGTGGAATCGCTTTGAGTTTCTCTCCATTTAATTTGATGTTGCTCGTTGGCTTGCTGTAAATTGCTTTTATTATGTTTAGATATGTTCCTTGTATCCCTGATCTCTCCAAGACCTTTATCATAAAGGGGTGTTGGATTTTTGTCAAAGGCTTTTTCAGTGTCTAATGAGATGATCATGAGGGTAATTTTCTTTTAGTTTGTTTGTATGGAAAACACACAGATCTTACGTATACAGCCCAATAATGGTTTTGATTTCATGGCTCTTTGCCACCAGACTTTCCCAGTCTGTGGCAATGCTTTCCTGAAAACAGAAATGTGTTTGTTATAGAGTTCTCTAGAGTCCACAGGTCAGTACTCTAGACCCCCAACACAACTTGTTTGCTTTCTACAGCCCTCACTGTGTGACTGTTGTCTTAACTAATTTCTCGTTCTTCTTCCCCCAAAGACGGAGGCCAGCTTATCAGTCCGCTCACACTGGTGTACCAGAAGGATGGCCTGCTCACCTCTGGAATTGTAATGTATCCTCACCTCTGAAATTGTAATGTGTTCTATTCCTCAGAATCCCTCCATTTCATGAAAAAGCAGAGTTCCCCTTTGCTGCAGCTTGTATTTATGAGCCGCATTTTGGCATGTTGGGGTTTTTTATTTTTTTCAGATTTGCAATTGTAATTGTTTCCTTGTTGGATTTTATGATAAAAAATTTACTAGGAAAACTTTCCATTATGTGAAAACAGAAAAGACAGGTAAGGAGTGATCATGTCTGTGTTGTCACTTATAAAGAAGAGTGGGCTTTAAAAATCTGCGACTGTCCCTCCCACCCAGGGGAAAAAACTGTCTGCAGCCCAAACTGTGCCTGTTTCTACAGTCATGACTTGGGTTGTCAGATATGAGCGTAGGTCTTTTGTCTGTTAGAGTTGATAATGAGATTCAGTTTACTGATCTTCGTTTGCTTGAGCAGATGGAGTTAGCCACAGTTCCTACCAGGCACCTTGCAAGTGTATTATTAATCCTCACCGATTCAACTTCATCAGCTAGAAATGTGACTTGCTCCTTATACAGGTGAAAGTACCAAGTGTCGCAGCAGTCACCAGAAAGTGAACCTGGGACATGATCCCAAGGACTATGCTTGTATCTACGACAGCACACAGTCCCAGGAAGTTTTAAACAGGGGAAGAGCACGTGTTTCCATGTGGTTGTAATCAGCGTCATAAATGTCAGGATGGGTGACAGCATTACCCTGAAATCTCAGGTCTAGTTGAAGCCGCCCCTAGGCCATTGCTAGCTTTGCCTGCTTCCCTGCCACAGGTCACCTTGAGGCCAGCGAGGCAATGACATTAGGATGAAAGATTTGGTTCCACCAAGCACAAGCCCCCTTGAGCCTCTGTGTTTACACTTCACTTATAATTCCCTCCCTGGAGTTCTCAACAGAAAACTGCCTCCCGTTTCCTACATTTAGTCTGCATTAGTGAACTTTTGAGGTTCTTATCTTCTTCACTGCCTTTGTTCTGATGAGGGATGGAGAATGATAGTGAGCTTGAGGAAAGTAACTTGCATCTCTCCCACACCCCCCCCCACCCAAGTCACAATCATATGAAGTCACAACTCTCAAATGCCTGTGTTAGTTACAATGAGGCTCAATCTGAAAAATGATGGCTACCTTTTCCCACAGCCTCACAACCATTGTAAAAATAACTCACATTCCTCTTGAAATCATTCACTTTGGTCTATTTATCAGCAACCGGTTGACCAATCGTATTATTGAACGCCCGCCATGTTGTAGCGCTGTATCAGGGACTGGAGACCAGGACCTAAAGTAAATGAAACAGCACTGTTCTACTTTGCACCACAGAAGTGCTTTTCAAAAATGTACATAGGAATGATTTTAAGCCACACAAGACAAATGCCCTTTGAAATGGGGAGAATTAACACACAAGCCATACAACTGTCTCATTTGCTCTGCCTTCTGCAAGTGATGGATATGGTTAAAAAGTGGCAAGGCATTCTAGATGTAAACCCAGGTAGTAGTAGTCCCTGAGCCTTGATTTGTCTGATGACTAAACTGGACTACATGTTGGCCAAAACTGACTGACTTTGTGTCTGTCTGTCTCACTGTGTTTGGTCTGCAGGATGGTATGATATACTCATTCCTCATCAAAGACTCAAAGTACCATGTGAAGAACTTTATTGAGGTTGATGGGCCAGTGGCACATTTGGTGTTTTCCCCTAGTTACAAAATGTTGCTGGTTCAAACAGACAAGGTACGTAAGACTGTGATGCAGCCTTCAAACATCGTCAGTGTGCGGTGGGATGTGTGTGATGATTCTCTTCTCATCAAACTCTATTGCAAATCGAAGGTACCCTGTGAACAAAGACTCCAGAAAAAAAAAAATAGATGTTGGATGTTGGTCGGGCAGTGGCGACACACGCCTTCAATCCCAGCACTTAGGAGGCAGAGTTAAACAAATTATTTTCTGAGTTATATAGTTAGAAAGACCCCCAATTAATGAAACAACTCCCCAAAAGTCAAGATTAGCAGATCTCTGTATTGTTAGGTAACAACATTGGACAAATTGAAAATAAATGAAAAACTAAAAATATCTGTTGAGAACAAGAAACTGTTTTAAAAAGTGACCTAATAGAAAAAGGAAATAGCCAAACAAAATTACTAAAACACACACACACTCATACATACACTCACACACACTCACACACATTCACAAATGCACACACACTCACGTCCACACACACGTTTACACATGTATACACACACACACACACACACACACACACACACACACACACCAAAGGAAACACTAAGTGAACGTACCTGGGGCTGGAGAGGTAGTTCATAGTTACGAGCACTGGCTGCTCTTCCAGAGAACTCTTATTTGATTCCCAGCACCCACAGAGACTACCAGGAGTCTGAGTTCATATGCAAAAGCAAAGAGCCTTTGTTGCAAGCTCAAGCTTGGGCTCTCTGTCCATTCCAACACAGCTGTTGAATCAGGGAGAGCCTCAAGCTCAGTTGAGGCAGTGTTTTTAAGGAGGAAAGGATGGGGGCATAGAGGAATTCTGGATTCAGATGGGGATCAAACTCCTGGTTGGGTAGGAGTGGGGTAACAGAAGTCTTGTCAGAGATTGGTACTGTCTTTGCTGCAAGGAAATTGGCAACTTCTGTACGAGTTAGGTAAGCTATCCTTAATGTTGGGGAGCATTTAGTATTTGTTTGTCTCAATTCTGATTGGTCCCCCACAGAGTAGAGTCTGCAGCTTTTCCTGGTTATTATAAGGGTGAGGCCAAGTTCCAATATTGTTAGTTTGCAGCCTGTCATGGCTGCACTGATGTTAAGTTAGGTCTCTTCAAAAGCAGCTCACAAACATCGTGTAACTCGGGTCCCAGGGCATTAGATCTCTCTTCCGACCTCTGTGAGTACTAGGCACCCATGTGGCACATAGACATATATACAGGCAAAACACGCATGCACATAAAATCAAAAACAAAGGTTAAAAAACTAAATGAACATACCTGACAAAAGACTTGACATGGAAGGTGGATGAAGGGATCAGTGCGAATGTTGCCTAGACAAGCAGAATGGAAGTCCAGAAGAAAAGAGATGTGAATTATACGGTGAAAAAAAAATACATGTGATCGAAGGGATGCAGACAGAGGTGATACTTCAGGAGACGCTAACATAGCTTTCCAGAGATAATCAGGGAGAGGAGTTCACAGATTTAAGAGACACAGTGAACCCCAAGGGGAACAAAATGACATCTACACTTACAATTCCCAAGATAAACCATTTGAAAAACAGAGACAAACCCCTTTAAAAATTAAATGAGTTAAGGAGGAAAATTCAACTACATTTTTGGACACTCTAAAACCAAGGGTGTACCAGCAGCAGGCTGTTACTAGAAAAAAAAAAAAAAAAAAAAAACTCTTAAAACAAACGTACTTCATGAGAACAAAGGGGAAAAGATCCGTTGGCGTTAGATGAATGAATTTCCTCATGGTGGAAATCAAACAGAAGGGAAAACCCCTTACTTTCAAATGATAGGATATAAAATATATAGAACGTATGAACATATAAAACACATATGTGTCTAACAATATAGCCACAAATACATATAATACATGATGGGATGACTAGAGAAGGCCAAGCAGGAGATTCCTCAGAGGCTTCTCCACATGTGTGATGGAATGAACAATGTATTTTTGGTGTAGCAGCCGATACAAACAGAACATTTCTTTCAGCCACTCACAGCTATGGTGGCTTCTCATTCTGAGTAAACGCCCCCGAACACCGAGCAAATGACCCTTCGCAACACAGATTCCATATCCCATCCCTGACCTCATCTCCCATGTTTGTCTCTTGCTGTATTTATTGATGTATTGAGCCATTCAGCCATTTAAATTAATAAGTAAGATTTCCATATTTTAAGCTCCTCAGAGGACCCTGTATAAGTCCATGATTTCCCATCACCTAGTCCCAAATAGTGTGCTGCGCACAGCGGCTATTAAACAAGCACGTGCTGATTAATGACACACAGTAATTGTGTTTTCTTTGTGTGGCTCCTTTCAGGGCACTGTTTATGTCTACACTTTCGGCACAGAGCCAACGCTAGATAAAGTCCTCGAAGCCTGTGATGGAAAAGTCCAGGCAATGGACTTCATCACACCTGGAACCAAACACTTCCTGGTAAGAGATGATCTACTGGACCCTGTAGGATCAAAGTTGTTGTATTTCAAGGTTCAAATTCCTATCCACACATACCTGAGTATCTTTAGATCAACTCTTTTTTTAAACCCACATCCAAAGGAAGAGATATTCTGAAAGGCTGATATGGAAGAAATTGGATTAATAATAACATTCCAAAAGTGCAAGATCTGTGACCAGATGGTTATCTGCTAAACATTTAAGGAAAAAAAAATAACAACTCTCCACAATACCATTTCAAAGTTATAAGCAGAAGGAACCCTTCTCCAAAGATTTCCCTTGACAGCTAAGCCAGAGAAAACACCACAAAAGAGTGAAATATAGGTGAGTATCTCTCCTGAGCACAGAGACAAACACCCTCCACTAAATACTAGCAACGCATAAAAACAACTGCGTGATTTATTTCAGGTATGCAATAGTGAAACACTGATCCACATCAAATAATCAATTAATGTAATCCGTCACATCACAACTAGTCATCATAGACAAAAGAGAAAACTTGTGTCATCATACCAGTCATCGAAGCAATCAACAGCATCTGTTGCCTACTTACAATAACAATATTTCAAAAATAAATAGAATAGAGCTGCTCACTATGGTAGGAATATCTACAAAACGCCGAATTCCTAATCAATATCACACTGGAAGTCTGAGCTTATACCCTTTTTAAAAAGAGTAAAAGGTATACAGACTGGAAAGAAATAAAACTACCTCTGTTCTCAGGTGACATGATTGCCACTATAAAAAAAAATTACAGACAAATGGCACACACCCCTAGTACTGAATACTCATAGCAAGGCTGCAGAAGAAACAGTTAACACAAAAAGAGATCAGTTGTTTTCATACATACCAAACAACGAGTAATTAAAATTTGAAATTAAAAACACAATACTGTTTATGTTAGTACCAGTAAAACAAACTAGGTATACATCTAACAAAAGATAGGTACACTCTATATGAGAAAAGCCACAAAACCCTAACAAAAGAACCAAAATGATCATCTTATTCTATGGAGACTTGTCACCCTGGCATGGATAAGAAGCTTTGGTTTTGTTAACATGACACTTCTTAAGTTGAGCTACATACTTAATGCTAGTCAAAATAACAAGACGTTATTTTGTAAAAAATTGATTGCTTGTAAATTTTACTTAGCAATGCCAAAAGAAATCAATAAACTAGTGAAGAGGCATTGGTGTTACACTGAGAAATAAATACTGATTCTAGAATAGTACATAATAAGGAATAGGAAAGTGCTGTCCCAAGCTAACCTCACATTAACCTTAAAGCATTCCTATTCTTCACTTGCCAGTCTGCTAACAATAGATCTGTGTCTTGAAGTTGTCTGGGCACTGTGCCCTCCTGGTGTGGTCACAGTCTTGCCCCCATGGTCTTGGGACCTTCTGTTGCCATGGTTATGGCTCTGCCTTTGTCACCAGCTTAGAAGCATGCTCCTGACATGTCTTCTTGACTGTAGGATCAAAGGAGGCCAATAATGGGCCGCCATTTAACTTCCCTAGTAATTTTGGCAGGCCAAATGCCTTTGGGCCACCACTTCCCCCTCCAGGATTAGGGGGTGCTTTTGGTGATGTTAGGCCTGTTATGCCTTCAGTTGGAAACAGTGGTTTGCCTGGCCTAGGACTGGAAGTTCCAGGTTTTGGAGGTGCACCAAATAACTTAAGTGGGCCATCAGGATTTGGGGGGGATCCCTCAGAATTTTGGAAATGGCCCTGGTAGTTTAAGTGCCCCCCCCTGGTTTTGGAAGTGGACCTCCTGGTCTTGGAAATGTTCCTGGACATTTGAGTGGGCCTCCAGCCTTTGGGCCTGGCCCTGGCCCAATACATATTGGGGGTCCCCCCGGCTTTGGAGCTAGCTCTGGAAAACCAGGACCTACAATAATTAAGGTGCAGAACATGCCCTTTACTGTATCTATTGATGAAATTTTAGATTTCTTTTATGGTTATCAGGTAATCCCGGGTTCCGTATGTTTAAAATACAATGAAAAAGGTATGCCTACAGGTGAAGCCATGGTGGCCTTTGAATCTCGGGACAAAGCCACAGCTGCAGTCATTGACTTAAATGACAGGCCTATAGGTTCAAGAAAGGTAAAGTTTTAGGGTAGTTGTTTACATCTGTCCTTTATAGGGTATAGCTTCATGTTGCTGTGATTAATGCATCCAGATTGTTTTCCTAGTATTTCCAGGTTAGAGCCTGTGGATTGTTTCAATTGCAGGTAGATGGGTTTCTATAACACAGAGCATTCGTTGGCTGTTTACAACTCACAGAATAAACATTGCAATTTGTTACAGTAAAGCTTTCTGGAGAGAACACAAAAATAATTTTGGCATACCAGTAGAAAACATTTCTAAAACTATGATCATATAAAACTTATCAAGGAAATTTAGATTGGCTTTCTTTTATACCACATGGGATGAATAAAATAGAAAAGTAGAGTTGGAGGAGGTTGCTCTTGCCAGTTGCTGACAATTAGAAGTTGGCTACTTTTGCAATTTGATTTAAAGTTGGACATATCTGCTTTGTTATAGGGTCAAAGCTTTGTCTAAAACATTCATTTTCTTTTTAAATTGAATAAAGTCTGTATATGGGAAAAAAGAAATATGCTCCTGACCAATCAAAAACTAACTCTTAATTTTTATCATTTGCCTCAAACCTCTACGGGAAGAGAGTTTTGGGATGAGGAGACTAGGGAGGTAATGGCTGGAGGGAGAACCTGGCAGAAATTAAGAGAAATGGAGAAGGATAGGAATGTAAGTAAAACAAGTATGTGAGGAAATGAAGAAGAAGGAGGAAGAGGAGGAGGAGAAGGAACATGGAGGAGTTAGAAGCAAAACAATAAAGAGTACATGAACAGAAAGAACGCGGTGTGAGAAGATTCTTTTCCATAGCCCTCCGAGTTAGATACTATGCTTATTGTGGTATCTCTTTTTTGAACCCTGAACAAAAGCTTTGTGGCTGGTACATAAAGTTTTTAATAATTTTTGAGAAAGGGTCTTGCTGAGTTGCCCAGGCTGGCCTTGAACCTACAATACTCCACTCCCCAGTTTTCTGGGACTATAGTTAAGTGCCAACACCATGCCTAACAAAAGTAATTGACATTTGAAAAAGTAGCAAAAGTAATTCAGGAAAAATATTATCATTTGTTCAACAAAGATGATGAAACAACTCATTTCTGCTTACACATTAACTCTATTGCACCCACCATAGTAGTTGTGTGTGTGTGCGCGCGCATGCACACACACACACTATAATTTTAAATATTTTGAACCCAGATGCAAATCTTACACTTTCCAAAAGAATCAAAATCACTGTAGACAAATGTAATGGCAAAATTATAAAACGATTAAAAAAATCTGGGTTACCTTGGGCTTGGTGGAAAAAGCTTTAGCTACAAGTACAGTCTGCAGAGGGAAAAATTGGGAGGTTGCCCTTGACCGGATGATCAGTGCTTTGAAAGACCTCCAGAGAAGAAAGCCCTAGGCACACCCTCTGCCAAGGGTTGGGAAAACACAGCTGACAAAGGACCAGGGTCTCAGATCTGCAGAGACCATTTGGGATTCAACAATGAGAGTGCATACTTGCACAGCCACATTGGAAGTCAATATGGCAGCTGCTCAGAAAATTGGAAATCAATCTACCTCAGGCCCCAGCTACACCACTCTTGGACATCCACCCAAAAGATACTCAATCATACCATACGACAATTGCTCAACTATGTTCAAAGCAGCATTATTCATAACAGCCAGAACCTGGGAACAGCCCAGGTGGCCCTCAACCTAAGAATGGATAAAGAAAATGTAGTACTTTTACACAATGGAGTACTCCTCAGCCACTGAAAACAAGGACACCAGGAAATTTGAAGGCAAATGGATGAAACTAAAAAAAAATATCCTGAGCTAGGTAACCCAGACCCAGAAAGACAAACATGGTATGTACTCATAAGTGGCTATTAGCTGTAAAATAAAAGATAATTATACTACATTCCACAGACCTGGAAAGGCTAAATAATAACAAAGAGGGCTCAAGGGGGAAATGCATGGCTCTCCCTGGGAAGGAGAAATAGAATAGATTTTCTGGGTGACTGGGGGCAGGTGGGGACATGAAGGATGAGGGGAGAGAATTGGAAAAAACAACTGGAAAGGGGAGCCATTTGGGTGTTCACTAGAAATTTAGTGCCAAGGAAACTCAGGAATCTACCAGGATGGCCCAGCTAAGACTCCTAGCAACAGGAGATATGTAGCCTGAACTGGCCGTCTCCTATAACCAGGCAAGACTTCCAGTGGAGGGATTGGGCACCAACCCAGCCACATAGTCTTCACCCTACAATCTGTCCTGGCTACAAGATATGCTAGGTTAATGGTGGCACAGAAATTGTGGAAATGACCAATTACAGTCTAGCCTAAAACCCGTGCCGCAGGAGTGAGCCCACTCCTGACCCGGAATCTGAAAACCTAGAGACCTAGGATAGAACCAAATATGACTAGCAAAAAAAGTTCATAAAATGATTCCTAATGATATTTTGCTAAACTCATAGATTGTTACCTAGTCCAATTGTCATCAGAGACTTCACCCAGCAACTGATGTGCAGATCCACTGCCAACCATTAGGTGGAGCTCTGGGAATACTGCTGAAGAGAGGGAGGAAGGCTTGTAGGAGCCAGAGGGGTCGTTGCAAGAAAACCCACAGAAACAACCAGCCTAGGCTCATAGGCTCACATAGGCGGAAACAGCTAGGGAGCCTGCATGGAACTGATCTAGGTCCTCTACATATATGTTACAGTTGTGTAGTGTGGTCTTCTTGGGGGACTCCTAACAGTGGGAGCGGGGACTGTCTCTGACTCTTTTGCAGGCTTTTGGGGGCCCTGTCGCCTTGCCCCACCTTAATATGAGGGGAGGGGCTTAGTCTCACTGAAACTTGATATGCCATGTTTAGGTCTGCTCTTTTCTGAATAGAAGCAGAGGGGGAGGGTAGCAGTGAGGGGCAGAGCAGGGTCAGGTGAGGGACGAGGAGGGGAAACTCAGGTCAGGATGTAAAATAAATAAAAGAAAGTCAACAACTTTGCTCAGAAATAGGCAAAAAGGGGAGTATGACTAGACTCCACACTCAAGAAGACATATGGATGCAAAGTAAGTGCATGCAAAGATGCTGGAAGCCTCATCCTTAGGATGTTGGGGCAATGAGATGCTGCCGCCTATTAGAATGTCTAAAGCCTGCAATGCCGACAGTGACAGAAGGTTGCCGCGGAGCAGCTGAAGAGCTCCTTCATTGTGCGCTCAATTTGGAAGATGGTTTGTCTGTTTCTTTCAGCACTAGACAGGTGCCCTGGTGGTTATACTCCGTAGTACTTACCCAAAGTAATGCCATCCAAAAAATGAGCTACATGAGAATGTTTACAGCAGCAGTGTTCATAGTGGCCCAGACTTGGGAAACAGCGGAGGTGCCCATCAGCCAGCGGATGGGGAGACTGTGGGAGCAGTCACACGATATGCCGTTGCTCAGTAATAAAAAGAAATAAAGCTGTCAAGCCGCCAAAAGACTTGGGCGGACAAGTCACAAAAGTACAGTGCTAAGTGAAAGAGGCCAGCATGGGAAAGCCTTCGTGTTGTACGAATGTAACAGGATGTTCTGGAAAAGGCAAAGCCGTGGAGACAACAAAAACTATCAGCAGTTGGTAGGTGTGTGGGGAGAGAGGCACGAACAGACTTTTTTTTTTTAAGGCAGAGGAACTGTCCTTTGTATATACAGTGCTGGTGAATGCTTGTCATCACGCACTCATCAAAACTCTCGCAGCGAGCGACACAAACATTGAAGGAGCCCTGATGTGAACTATAGACCCTGGCCAGTAACTAGCAGCGTGGACACCTAAGCTGCAGCCCATGGTGCATTCTGATGCAAGCTGTTCACAACAGAGTACTGTAGGTTGGCAGCGATGGGGGCAGAGGGGAGGACATCTAACTTGCTGCTCCAAACGTCCATGGTCCTAAAAGTGATGTAAAAGTAAAAGGCTTATAAAAGGACAATATATAATTTCCTGTTTCTAGGCTTAATCATTAATTATCATTACGCAATGGTCCCAGTGAGTTTCCAGGGGATTTTTATTTGAAGTGTGATTGTAGGGGAAATGTTTATTTTACTTCATTTTCATGTTTATGTGTGTGGGTGTCTTACCTGCATATATGATTGTGCACACATATGTGTCTGGTGCTTGCAAAGGCCAAGAGATGACATTAGATCCCTAGGAGTTGGAGTTGGAGTTAGAGGATTGTAAACTGCCAGGTGGGTGCTGATGACCAAGCCTCGGTCCTCAGGAGAAGCAGTCCGTTCTCTTAACCACTAAGCCAGATTTTCGCCTGCTTGGTGCCACAAGCTGCTGGGCAGGTGGCTAACACTGTGATGAGCAAATGCACGGTGAAGAAATGGGAAGGGGAAGCAAACCAGTCCATGTGTTGTGGAAAGAACAACAAAAGTGGTGAGGGACAGGATGATGTAGGTGGCCTGCTTGCCCCCTGGGACCATGGTGACATCTGGGCCCAGGCTGCAGCTGAGGGCCGTGTCTGGATCCATGGCCCTATGCCAACCAGGGTCCGTATTATTATCTGTGGCTCCTGTTACCACAGGGAGCCATAGGAACCATGGGTGTTGAAATCCAAGGGCCGTGCTAAGCCAGCATCTCCCTTCCCTGGCCCTGCAAGAGCTGGCCCTGCCCCTCAGGAGAGAGCGGACCCCACACTGGAGAAGGCCTCACCCCTCACCGTGGGCATGGGAGAGCTGGCCCCAGTGCCCAGGTGTAGAAGAGCTGGCTTCACCCCTCACCTGAGGGGAGGGGTCCCAGTCCTCCCCCCCCCCCAGACTGGTCAAATCAGCTACCACCCAGACCCACACCCGGAGCTTCGAGTTGGCCCACCTCGATCAACATCTACGTAACCTGTGATCTGCTTGAGTGTGTGAAGGGACAAGTCCTGTAGGGCCTTAGCCAAAGGGTCCCCCCAACTTGGGGCACCGGCAGAATAATTGTGAGGAGTTTTGGTAAGAGAACAGTATCGATGGTGTATAAGAAGCCAGAGGCCTTGAACCGCACTAAGAACCCATCACGATGAACATTTGCAAGTAAAGCTGAATGGGCAAAGGGTTATGTTGTATGAAACAGCCCCCAGTGCCGTTAAGACAAGCGAGCAGGCGTTGGAGAGGCAGGGACGGTAGTGGAGTGAAGGGGGCTTTGTTGTTGTTTGTTTGGTTTGGTGGTTTGGTTTTAATTAATATTTTTTAAAGTTTTATTTTGGGGGGATGCTATAGGGTGAGGGGACTATAGATTCTATAGATATGAAGAGACTGAAAAATGAGCAGGATTGGGGTGCATGATGTGAAATTCTTAAAGAATCAATAAAAATTTAAGGGATGATTTGTTTTATGTCTTACATTTTTATTATTTTTATGTAGTGTGTGTGTGTGTGTGTGTGTGTGTGTGTGTGTGTGTACAGGCATGCCCTCTCACAATGAGGGTTCAGAGAACAATTTGTGGAAGTTGGAGTTGGTTCTCTCCGTCTACCACGGAGATCAAATCCAAGTCAATCAGGCTTCGTAGCAAGTGTCTTTACCCACTGAATGTATCTCTACTAGGTAATCCTGGCTGGTGGGGAAATCATTATATAGACCAAGCTGGCCTCAAACTCTCAGAGATCCACCTCCTTTTGCCTCACAAGTGCTGAAGATAATTGTTTTAAGAACACAAAAGGAGCCCAAGTATAACAGTTTGTGTCTGTTATTCTAGCCTGTGGGAAGGAGGCAGGTAGATGTAAGTGGAGTTTTTCATTCCACCAGCCCACTCCCAAATAACCACAGAGAGGCCCAATATTAATTGTTAACGCTTGGCCAATAGCTTAGGCTTGTTTTCAGCTAGCTCTTTTAAGTTAAACTGCCCCATTCATATTAATCTATGTGCTGCCCTGAGGCTTGTTTACCTCATCTACGCACTTCCCATCCACTTGCCCTGCATCTCATGGCTCCTCCTCCTGACCCCGAGACTCCGCCCCTCTTCTCCACAGTGTTCTCTTAGTTTGGCTGGTCCACCTAACCTTATCCTGTCTAGCTATTGGCCAGTCAGCTTCCTTATTAAACAAATCACAGTGACATATATTCACGCAGTGTGAAGGAATATTTTACAGGGCGATTGGGAGTTCAAGCCCAGCCTGGGTTATATATGAAACCTTGTTTCAGAGAGACTGAGAAAGGGTGGAAGCGGGGGGAGGGGGGGAGGATAAAAAAGGGTAATAGAAAATAAGAATTGAGGTTGAATTTATAAATAATTAATAACCTATACAAACAGAGACGCTTTACCTGACCCCCCCCCCAGGTTAACATACTAGATAATTAGCACGTGCTCGCACAGCAGAGTCTAACAGTCCATTCACGGTTGCCTTTCTTTCTCTTGCAGACGCTCACTAATACAGGGGAAATCTCTATTTTGTGGATAGAGGATTGCACGTGTGTCGGCAGGGTTTTGCTGGGAACTCAAGTAAGTGTACCTGATAAAATCAGTGTTTAAAATACTGATTCTAACTCCACTCACATTTCTATTTCACATCCCAGCGGTCTGTGGAAGTCCTTGATACTACGTTGTTTCACCCACAGAGAGTTAGAGTTTAAGAAGCCCTGATTTAATCATACCCACCTTGCACAGTGTGAACCTCAAATCACAGTATCAGAGAAGGGAACCGTCCCGTAGGAGAAGGATGAAGACCCTCGCTGAAGGTCTTGAAGAGTGTCTTCTAAGGGACTACTTCCTGTGAAATCAACATAAGCACAGCCCTGACAAGGGGTCGCATTCATTCCACCAAGCCTTAGAAATGATGGGAGGGGATTTCTCAGGTTTTTATAGAAGGAAGACACCTAGATGTTAGCTGTCATTCACTCATGACACATTCCTCAACATGCCATCACTTCTGCACAATTCACAGTACATTTTGCGTAAAAATATTGTAAAAAAAATATGTAAAGACCTAATTGTTTCCATTACATCTTAGAAAGCAAGGTAATTCCAGTCCTTCGCTCCTACAAAATTTAAAATGTCAATTTTAAAAGCTACCAATCAATTACATAAGACATGATACTAAGTATCATGCCATATACTGTTACAAGTTGCAAAAAAAATAAAAAAATAAAAAAAATTGCCTCCCTGCCTCTCTTCCCAGAAATGTAGCAATAAAAAGTCTTGACTTATAAAGCCATGAAATATAAAACACTGCATAATCTGTGTGGCAAAGGCTTGTATATATCAGTTTCTATGAGAACTTCTAGAACTAAAGAGACTTCCACATCCATCTCTGCAGACAAGAAGGAAATTTATGACAGTCCCCTCCACCCCACCCAGGAGGCTGCAAACCAGGATTCACCTTGCTCCTCTTGGACAAGGCAGAATACAGCCACTCTCAGAAGGCCTTAGCCAGCCTCCACTGAGCTCCAAGCCGGGCCTGCTACATGGCTGTAGGCCAGCCTCTGCTTGGGAGCCATGGGTTTTTCTTTATGGTAGATCCCACGGCACTACAGAGAAATGATCATTGGACAGGCCCAGTGATGCTGAAGCCAAACACTCTGCTTCTGCTGCAGCTGTTTCCCTGTGAACACTTCAGGCTGTGATTCTCAAGGAGCCCAGCCCAGCACCGCCATGTCACCTGTGAGAGACACGAGTCCCCTGGCTATTGATTGCTATTTAGAGCAGCTCACTATAGCTCTAGAATATAGGAGATTTTCAGTTGGTAATTTGAGGAGCATCTCTCTCTCTCTCTCTCTCTCTCTCTCTCTCTCTCTCTCTCTCTCTCTCTCTCACACACACACACAGGCCTAAGGACCAGGATCTCCAGCACCTATGGAAGTGCTGGCCACCTGTGCTCCCAGTGTGTGGGAGGCAGAAGCAGGCCTTGGTGGAGCAAGCTTGCTGGCTGGACAAGCTGGGTCAGCAAGCCTTGGGTTCAAGCAAGAGACCCTGCCTCGGCATATAAGGTGCAGAGCAATCAAGGAAGATAGCTGGTGATCATCCTTGGCCTATAATTGCACACATTTACACATACATGTGGACACTCACACACGCAAGCACACTGCACTCACAAACTCCTGCAAAAGCAAACAAATAAACAAAAACAAAATCCAAAAACCCAAACACCTAGAAGAATGCCCTGTTCTGAGAGTCAGGGCCTTGAGTGCTCCCCTGGACACTGTCACCGGCCCAGTCTTACTTGTCATTGTCCTCACAACAGCAGACAAATCTCTATCTGGCTTGCCCGCTTGTTTTCTTTCTCGGGCCCCAATAAAAATGTCCTTGGGTTTCTGCCTGAGTCTGATTCTGCATTCTTTCATATATGAGACTTAGAATCGTAAGCAGACGCCATGTTTCCCAGTGACATGAGGGACCCCATGTTTCCCTGTGACACTACAGCTGAGTTTTCATGCATGCCTCTTTAGAAAATTCTATCGTTCTAGTTTTAGTATAAAATACCACATAGATACTCCTGTGCTTGCTTATGCAATTGGTCCAATTCAGGAATGTTGACTTTCTGAAAAGAAATATGTACCATAACAAGCTTGTAGGCTTTTCAGAAATTCTAAGCATCTGAGGTGGGGTGGGGGGGTTGGGCCGAGGATGAAATAGTGGGCCTGGAGCATGCTAAACGCAAGCTCGACAGCCCTAAACTACATGCCCAGCCCAGTCTCATTCTCTGAGGTTTATCTTAAACAGGCAACCACTCTAGCATGCTGCCCTTCCTCCTCATCAGCCGTCGTGGGGACAGCCGAAGGCTACCTGTACTTCCTGGACATCCATAATGTGGAGTCCCCTCAGGTGATTAACAGGGTCTTCCTCTCCGAGTCACCGGTGAAGATCTTGATGTAAGTTTCTCCTCCTCGGGCCACACTATCATCCGGCCTATTGATAAAGGGTTCCAGAGAAGCAGGCTTGGTTTTTCGGTTTTACACATTTCATTTATTTTGAACATTAACTCGGTTCGGCATTCAAAAAGTACAAATGAGCATAGAGTAGAAAGTCTCACACACACACAACTCCCTCCCGGAAGCAGCCGATTACCTATTCCCACTGTCGATTTCCAAATACATTTTTATCCATAAATAAACAAAAGACCAGTATTTATCTTCACTTAATAATAATGAGAGAGGCTGGAGTGTGTGTGTGTTCTTGGGTGTGGCTGGAGTGTGTGTGTGTGTTCTTGTGTGAGGCTGGAGTATGTGTGTGTTCTTGTGTGAGGCTGGAGTGTGAGTGTTCTTGTGTGAGGCTGGAGTGTGTATGTTCTTGTGTGAGGCTGGAATGTGTGCTCTTGTGTGAGGCTGGAGTGTATGTGTGTTCTTGTGTGAGGCTGGAGTGTGTGTGTGTTCTTGTGTGAGGCTGAAGTGTGTGGGTATTCTTGTGTGAGGCTGGAGTATGTGTGTGTTCTTGTGTGAGGCTGAAGTGTGTGTGTGTTCTTGTGCGAGGCTGGAGTGTGTGTGTATTCTTGTGTGAGGCTAGAGTATGTGTGTGTTCTTGTGTGAAGTTGGAGTGTGTGTTCTTGTGTGAGGCTGGAGTGTGTGTGTGTGTTCTTGTGTGAGGCTGGAGTGTATGTGTGTTCTTGTGTGAGGCTGAAGTGTGTGTGTATTCTTGTGTGAGGCTGGAGTATGTGTGTGTTCTTGTGTGAGGCTGGAGTGTGTGTGTGCTCTTGTATGAGGCTGGAGTGTGTGTTCTTGTATGAGGCTGGAGTGTGTGTTCTTGTATGAGGCTGGAGTGTGTGTTCTTGTGTGAGGCTGAAGTGTGTATGTGTTCTTGTGTGAGGCTGGAGTGTGTGTGTGTTCTTGTGTGAGGCTGAAGTGTGTGTGTGTTCTTGTGTGAGGCTGGAGTGTGTGTGTGTTCTTGTGTGAGGTGAATGAATGTGTGAAAGGCATTTCCTCAGATGCCAGCTGCCTCATTTTTGTGGGCATGGATCCTCTCAGTGGGCCTGGAACTCACTGATTGGGCTAGGCTAGGTGGGTTGGCCAGTAAGGGCCAGAGATCTTGTCTCCACCTCTACAGCCCTGAGATCTGGTACAGAGGCCACTGTGGCTTTTTTTGGGCAGGTTCTGGGTCTCGAACTGTGGTCCTCTCATGCTTGAGGGGCAAATACTTTATCAACTGAGCTATCTCCCAGTCCCACTGGAGAATGTTCAACATCCACATTCTGTATGGTGGTGACATGGAACTCTATTATACACACTTCATCATTTTTCTCAAACAGTGGTATAATGATGGAAATTTAAATTATTTCAAATCCTTTGAAGTAATATTCTCAAAGATATTTCTACTAGTTACTGTAAAATAAGCAATAAGTTTTGTGATAACATTTTCATACTTTGTTTCTTCTTTAATTTCTTTCTTTAAAGACATAAAGTTCTTGTCATACAAGCCTTTCACTTATTTGGTTAGAGTTATCCCAAGATATTTCATGTTGTCTGTGAATATTATGAATGGTGATGTTTCTCTGATTTCTTTCTCAGCTCTTTTATCATCTATATATAGGAGGGCTACTGATTTTTTTTTTAATTAATCTTATATCCTGACACATTACTGAAGGTGTTTATCAGCTGTAGGAGTTCCCTAGTAGAGTTTTCCAGGTCAGTTATGTAAACTATCATGTCATCTGCAAATAGTGACAGTTTGACTTCTTCCTTTCCAATATGTATCCCCTTGATCTCCTTTTGTTGTCTTGTTTCTCTAGCTAGAACTTCAAGTGCAATACTGAAGAGATATGGAGAGAGTAGACAGCCTTCTCTTGTTCCTGATTTTAGAAGAATCACATTGGGTTTCTCTCCATTTACTTTGTTGTTGGCTGTTGGCTTGCTGTATATTTGGGTATGCTCCTTGCATCCCTGATCTCTCCAAAACCTTTATCATGAAGGGTTGTTAGATCTTATCAAAGGCCTTTTCAACATCTAGTGAGATTTTTTTTTCAGTTAGTTTATATGGTGAATTATGTTGACAGATTTTTGTATGTTGAACCATCCCTGCACCTCTGGGATGAAACATATTTGATAAAGGTGGATGCTTTTTCTGATGTGTTCTTGGATTCAGTTTGCCAGTATTTTATTGAGTATTTTTGCATCAATGTTCATGAGAAAGATTGGTCTTTCTTAGTTGTGTGTTTGTGTGGTTTGGGTGAGTTCGCTCCTTTTTGTTCTAGAGGTTTCAGGTGTGCTGTGAATTCTCTAATGTGACTGTTCTCCGGTTTTTATGTCGGCACTCGGTGCTACGAACCGTGTATTGTGTGTTTGTTTTCATTGAATTCTGGGATGTCTTTAATTTCATTATTTCTTCCTTGACCCAGAGTTGGTGCAATTGAGCATTGTTAAGTTTCCATGAGTGTGTTAGCTCTCCGCAGTTTGTGCTGTTGTTGAATTCTAACATTAAATCATGATGATGTGATAAGATACAGATGGTTGTTCTCCTTTCCCAGTTGGGGGCGGGGCCAAGGCTCCCATGGTGGCAAATGTGTTTCTGGGTGGTTTGGGGCTTCCCCCTGGTCTCTGGGGTTTTAGTGGGTGGGATGAGGCATGCAACATGCCCCAGTTAAGGGCCTCCATGCAGCATGCCACATTTTCTTTATCCATTCACCCACTGATGGACATCTAGACTGTTTCCAATTTCTGGCTATTATGAATAGAGCAGCAATGAACATGGATGTCGCTGTGGTCGGATGATGTGTCCTTTGTGCATATGCCCAAGAGCCAAGAGTGGTATAGCTGGACATTGAGGTGGATCCATTCCCAGCTCCCTAAGGAACCACCGCACCGATTTCCATAGTGGCTGTAAAGTTTACACTCCCACCAGCAATGAATGAGGGTTCTCCTTACTGTACATCTTCACCAGCATGAGTTGTCTTTTGTTTGGTTATTGGTTGGCTTTATTTTTACAGGAGAGGGATGGGGTGAGAAATGGTTTATTTCATCTTAAAGATTAGAGTCTATCATGAAGGGAAGTCAGAGCAGGAATCTGGCACCAGGAGCTGAAGCAGAGGCGGAGGAGAAATGCTACTTACCAGCTTGCTCAGCCAGCTTTCTTATTCAGCCTTGAACCTTGTGCCCAGCGCTAACAGCACCCAAAGTGGGTTTGAGCCTCCCACACAAGCCATTATTCAAGAAAATCCCCCCACAGACTTACTTACAGGACAGTCTGATGCTGTCATTTTCTCAGTTGAAGCTCTCTCTTCCCAGATGACCCTGGCTTGCCTCAAGTTGACCAAACAAAAATCCAACCAGCAGAGTTCCTTCCAGGACTAGGGATGAGGGCTGCTTCTAGGAAGCAAAGAGGACTCAAAGACAAGTGCATCACCAAACCTCTCAAAAGGTGGAACCCTGGAGCGTGCTGCACAGCTTGTAGGATGCTCAACAGGGTGAAGAGTGTCCTTTGCCAGTCTGAGCTCTTCCAGGCAGCGTGACTGGGCACTGTGTCTTCTAGGCAACTCAGCTGCTCTATTTCCTTTAGGCTGCTGGGGCTGGGCTGAGCCTCCTGTGGGTCAGTCTCTCAGCAGGACTCACTACTCTATGTGCTTTGGAAGGGAGGGACAAGTAAACCTGATCAGTTTCTGGGACTTCCTGAAGCTGTTTTGAGTTGCTTACTGCCTGAGGCTAACAAATTTTGCTGCAATATAGAAAGTTTCACCCTCCCTTAGAGCACCCTGTTTCACCTTCCTGGAAACATCCAGTCTAAAATATGGTGTTATTTCACACACTCAAACACCCCCTTGCACACCCAGGGTGTTTAGAGGGTTCCCTTCCAGGTGGAAGATGTTAATCTCTAGGGAAGATGCTACACAAGACTATGTCATATATTATTTCAACTTTTAGGTTTTTGAGAAACCTCTGTACTTATTCCCATAGCAGCTACACAAGTTTAGAGCTCCGCCCCCCAACAAATAAGGGTTCCTCTTTCCCTGTGTCTTTACTTGCCTTTGTTGTTGTTTGTTTTCTTGATGCTGGCCATCCATACCAACTGGGAAGAGGTAGAGTCTCAGAGAAGTCTTCACTGCATTTCCCTGATACCCAAGAACATGGAAAACTTCGTCAAACATGTATTTGAAAATGACTGTTCGTATCCAGGGATCTTTCATGTTTTTATGTGAATTTTAAGATGATTTTTTCTAGTTCTATGGAGAAAATCACAGATTTTGATGAGGATTGTGTCATAGCTGAAGACCACGTTGGGTAATAGTGACCTTATCACACACACCAATCCTGCCAATCCATGAACACAGAAGGTCTTCCATCTTCTTTCTCCAGTGTGTGTAAAGTCTTATTGCAGAGGTCTTTCACCTCCCTGCTTGTGTTTGTTTCTAGCTTTTAAAATAAGTCTGTTATGAATGGGATATTTTTCCAAATATCTCTTTCAGCACTTTTTTTGTGCTGTAGATTTTGTATTGTTACTTGTTAAAAAGTGTTACCTAATCAAAGAGTTTTCTGGTAGAGTCCATAGGGTCTTTGAACTATAGGTATTATGTGACTTGCAAATAGGGTATTTTGATTACTTTGTTTCCTATTTGTACCCATTTTATTTCATTCTCTTGTCTTACTGTCCTAATGACTTTTGGCATTGCATTAAATAGAGTGGAGGGAGTTGACATCCTTTTTGCTTTCCAAGTATTAGTAGAAATGTTTTCAATGTTCCCCAAATTTTAGAATTTGGACTATGAGTTTGTCATATGTAGTCTTTGTTATACACACATATGTTCCTTGAGTTCCTTGGAGCTTTTTTTTAGAACTTTTATTATGAAGGGACATTGAATTTCATCAAAGCCTCTTCTGTGTCCATTGAGATAATTAGGTGATTTCTACTCTTAAGTCTATTTTGTGTTGTTTTGCATATAATATTTTGCATATGTTGAATATATCTCATGTCTCTGAGATTTAACCAATTTATTCATGATGTCTAAATTGTCCCTGTTGATCTCTGTGGGCTCCAGCACAGAGGAAACTAAAGTGACTTCCCTCTTTATTTCCTGCTTTTCTGAATTATATCTTCTTGTGTGGCCATCATTTCTCAGACCTCCCCCCCCCCCCCCCCCCCCCGTTCACATTCTATTCTTTCCTGTTTGGAGGAATTTGTAGGAATGTTTCACTGTGTAAGGTCGGCAGTTGTAAGGTACTGAAATGTCACACCCATCACAGGTAAAACTCTGCCAATGCATTCCACCAATTTACCATCAAACACCTGCCTGTCTTTCCTGAGCATTTTCTGGTTGACTGGATGTTGGCTTCTTCTCCTTTTCTTTTTTTCTGTGCTGAGGATTGAACCTCAAGCCTCACGGATGCTAGTCAAGCCCGCTACCACTGAGCAACGTCTCAATATTCTTGATTATATATTTCTAAGTTAAATTTGGGGTAGCATCGGTTCAGAAGAGAATGACTACTCAACATGTAGATGTAGATTTTTATAAAGTCAGAGAATATTTTAACGTCACAAACCGTATGGGTGGGGATATAGCCTGATTGTAGATGGGCGACCTTGTGTGCACAAGGCCCTCAGTTCCACCCCAGCACCACAAAATGAAGGAATACATAAATAAATGCCACTTGCTGTAAGCCTAGCTGCTTTAGAATGTGTTTCTGTGATCAAGCATCCTGCAAGCTCACTTAGCACCAAGCAATCTAGACATTCGATTTCTTCTCTCCTAGTTACGACCAGCGGGGAATTTTTCTGTTAGTCGGTACAGAAGAGGGAAACATCTTTGTTATCGATGCCAGACCCTCAAGATCATTTCATATTTTTGGATACACTGGTATGCTACAGCAAATTTATTGGGTTTTTTTGCTTGGTTTGGTTTGTTTGTTTGTTTTTAGATCACTTTACAACCAAGAATTTAAGTTAAAAGTTTGAATTATGGCAAAAACAATTACATCTGTCATATTTTTCTGAAGAAGAATACTTTAAGTATAAGTTAAATTCCCTAAATATTTGGAGAAATTTGGATTATTAGAGTTGCCTGGTATGTGAGTGATGCTAAAAAGTGTTACATCAACTAGTGAATGAATTAGTGAAGTATCTAAACATGTTGACATTATAAGGGGAGGAAAAGCTGGGAATCCAACAGAAATCCTCCTCGCCTCTCACTGAAGCAGCAAGCACAGTATGAAGCAGTGAGAAGCCCCAGGGGGTTCCAAGAACACCTGCACCGACCTTTCCAGAATCAGCTCAAGGAAGACAGAATGGGTGAAAGTTCAGGCAGGAGTGGTTAGGCAGGCCCAGGAGTCCGTGAACTCAGTCAGCAGGTGTCCCTGAGAGCCACACAGATGGATGGGCCATGGAGGGAACAGGCTCAGCACATGGTGAGATGACGCAGTAAGCGTCCAGGGACTGAAGTCTCGTGTGGCAACTGTCGAGACCCAGGAAAGCAGAAGGCATCGAAGAGAACACAAGGAGCTGAAAAGCAGTAATGGGCGGTGTGTTGCCTTAATGGGCTCAAAACCACGGATGGGACCCGAGGCTGACCCTTGCATCGCAGCGATGCCAGGAAATGAAGGGAGATGATGGAGATAAATAAGATGAGAGGAAGAGAAAGTAAGACCCAGGATGAGGTCACTGCAACGCAATTTTCTGAGACATTTGCAGCCTTCCCGGTTATGGAAGGTAGAAGCTGTGTTGTTGAGTGCCTTGCAAGGAGGAAGAAATTGGCGGTACTGTGCAGTGCCAGGTGAGAGGTAAATGTGGCGTGGCACAGGCCATTGAGCAGGATTTCCCCAAGGACCAAACCCAGAGCCAGGTGCGTTTCCACTACAACTGTCATGATGCCAAGAGCACCGGTGTGTGAGCTGCCCCGTGTAAGAGCCCTGGAACTGGCTGGCACAGCTGTTCAAAGAGCCAGGACATGAGCACACCGGGGGGGGGGGGGTTCAGAGGAGACAAACAAAGATGGCAGACTCAAGAGGGTTCCCCTGGTAGACGTAAGCAGGACTAAACCCACCTGGCTGGAAAATGCACTTCAGACATCTAATCAGAAAAACACCCTCTCAGTCCATCCGAAATGTCCCAGTGTAAAAATCAGTTAATAAAATGTGCTACTAGAGACTGGGTGGAGAACAATGTCTCTATTTTGACACACAAAAACACAACTTGGGACGTGTGTGTGTGTGTGTGTGTGTGTGTGTGTGTGTGTGTGTGTGTGTGTAATATTAACAAAAGGCCATGTTGAGAATCGGGAAAGTAGAACCTCTTGTATCTTAACTAGAATGACACAAGATTCTTTAAACTCAGCCGATGACCCATTCCCTTTCAGAGACCAGCAAAGACATTCTGCAGATATCCACAGTGTCCCTCCCAGTGTCGGACATGGTGGAAGTGCTGGTACTGTCCCCGCTCCCTGAGACGGGAAGAAGCAGGCTGGAATACTTCACCCTGCCCGCCATGTTATCAGAAGGTGATGAACAAGCAGTTGGCCCCTCCCTCCCGGCCCAGATGAGTTGCAGTCGTTATGGTTTCTTTTGGTTTGGTAGTCTTCTGGCAAAGACATGGTGAAGTTGCTGTCCTCTGCAAGTCTTTAAAAGCGATCCCAACATTTGGGAGGCAGGGGCAGGTGGATCTCTGTGAGTTGAGGCCAGCCTGGTCTCAACTCCCCAAAAACAAACAATCAAAAAGTGAATGCTGGAGAGGGCGGGTGTTAAGCAGTGTGACATATGGACTTTTCTCCATGCCTCAGAACTCAGAAATGTTTATTTGACTTCTTTTTTTTTTTTTTTTTTTTTTTTTAATAAGAGAAAAGAAACAAGTTCAGCTGCCATGCCAAGGCCTTTTGTGAAGGTTCTCATTCTGCAGTTTTAAATATTCACAGTTAAATTCAGATGTTTTACAGTGTGGCTACATGGGATTATAAAACCGGATACTCTTTTTGTCTTGTTGACAAATCTATCTAGCTAGAAATTTTAAAAATATAGAATTACAGAAAATAAGGGGGGAAAACCCCTCAAATTTCTTTTCTGTCTCAACTAAGAATCTAAAAAAATAAAGAAGCCAGCTCTTTGGAGGCAGAGCAAGGCAGATCTCTGTGAATGCCAAGACAGCCTGCTCTATGTGCAAATTCTAAACCAACCAAAGTATATAGTGAGATGCTCTCTCAAGCAAAAAAGGAAGACAGGAAGAAGGAAAGAGGGAGGGAGGGAGAAAGGGAGGGAGGGAGGGGAACAGGGAAGGAGGGGGGAAGGAAGGGAGAGGCCTGTAATCTCACCATGCAGGAGTCTGGGCAGGAGAATTGTTGCAAGTTTGAAGCCAGTAACACATTTACCAAAAAAAAAAAAAAAAAAAGTCAAGGAAAAAAAGGAATCTTGGTATTGTCATGTTTATTTTAATGTTAATCTTTAAGCTAGTTTATGAAATGAAAGGTATGAAATATATTTTCCTGACTATCAGGGTTAAGTATCTCTGGCTGAGGTAAATTGTTTTAACATTTTTAACACCGAATAGCCTCTGTCCTATTACCAACTATTTACTTTTTTTATTTTGCATTTCATAAGTGTGCCTACTGATTGCCCGAGTGAACTCTTGGTGCATGTGAGCTCTGCTCTTTTCCCCATCTTAGTTTCTGAAAACTTTTCTGATGAACGAGGAATACTGAAGAATGCCTTCATCCACAAATTCCTGTATGAGGTGGAGCACGCTCTGTCCTCCGCTGTGCTGGCCTTTGAAAGCAACAAGATCTACGGTTTCTGCAGCCAGGTGCCATACATCTGTAGCTATCTGCTTCCGGAAAAGGTATGCTAGATTCCAGTGATCCAGACTGGTGTCTGCTAATCAGATAAGATCCTCTTGGCTGCCTGAGCCGAGTAATTCAAGCAGCAAACGGCTTTATTATAAAAGCAGAGGCATGGGAGTCACTGGTTAATCCATCACGTGTACAACTGAGTGACACTTGGGCCACAGACAGCATTCTTGTCAGATAAACATGTAGGTGATGTAGTATTTGTCTAGTGCCTTAAAAGCCATCCGGCATTAGATCTGTCCCATAGAGGCCAGCGGCTGTGAGGTAGGTAATCTTCAGTAAAACTTTATACCCTGGCCCTAAGTAAAATTGTGCAAAATAATTAAGCTACTTTTCTATGGTGTTGCTTCATCTCTTCAAGCTTCTTGCATTCCGGGGCAGGGGCACGCCCTGCCGCACATAGCAGCCCAGCATTCCGCTGTCTTCAGGTGTATGGGAAGAGACTCGATCCCAGATCCCACCATGCGTCTCTGACTCACATTTACCTTCTCCCAGTTCTCTCTCGCTGTAGCCGGTATTAGACATAGATAGTAGCGAAAAAGAAGGGATGGACTTCGGTAATGGGAGACTCAAGAGAACTGTTGTAGGAGAAGCAGGGGAAGTAGGAACATTTAATACCCTGAGGGAGGAGGTCAGGCACAGGGAAGTGGAATAGGATTGGCGGGGCGGAGTGGAGAAGGACACTTCAGACGAAAGGAGGGTCATGTCTGCGGTGTGGAGAAGGGGGTGCATGGGACTCGTAGCGAGGACATGGGCAACTTGTATTTTGATTTGTGCATGATGGCATATAAAAATGATGCCTGAAAACACAGACCCTGAGTATAGGCTTGGACCCTTAATGGCGGAATTACATGTAAAGAGACTATTCCTGGGCTGGAATGTAGATCTGTGCTCAAGAGTACTTGTTTATTATGCACAGGAGCCTGAGTGTGATTCCAGCACCTAAATAAATAAACATGCTCCTTGGCTGGCAAACCCAGCTTTTATTTGTAGAGACATAATTAATACATGGTATAAACACTGGTGCCTACTCTGTCCTGTCCAGGCTTATTTCCAAGGACAGCACTCTGGGACTTGAACCTGACCACGCTTGTAACGTACACCTGCAAAACCAAAGTTGCCACTGGCCTTACCTTCTCCACAATACTGTTCTCTGCTTTGATTGGCAGAATCACGATGGTGTCTACATCCTTAAGCCACACCAAAAAGTCCTAAGCAAACAGTATGGATCTGGGATGATCTATTTGTCTTCGCATGGACTATGGCTCCTGACAATAGCCAAGTGTGGATTCCTCTGTGTCCGAGACAGTTTCAGTCTGGTAAATTTTAAAAAGAATTCCTGGTCAGGGAGTGGGAGGAGGGGTGTGTGTATTAGCGATGGCTCAGTGGCTAAGGGCATCTATTGCTCTTGCAAAGGACTCAGGTTCAGTTTCCGGCACTCACTCAGTGGCTCATAATCAGTTCCAAGGGATCCAGCACCCTCTTCTGGCTTCCGTGGGCACTACACACACATATGGTCCACGTACATATATGTAGACAAAACACTTGGACACATAGAACAAACATAAATCTAAAAATTTATATAAAAAATATATCAGGCAGGGGCCAGAGAGATGCTGCTGGTTTGTAAGGGCTCTGTTTACTCTTACAGAGGCCTCAAGTGTGGTTCTAGCAGCTGGGCTGAGTGGTTCACAGCTGCCTATACCACTGTCTCAGGGGTATCCTATGCCCTGGCCTCCACCAGCAGCTGCTCTCCAGGGCACATACCCACACATGCCTGTAATTAAGTAGGAACAATCTTCACATGGTGGGGCATGTACGTGGATTTCAGGCAAGAACAAAGCCCCTAGAAGAAAAATCAACTTCCTTAGGAAAATTGACCCCATTTCTCTGTTTTTCTTTCTCATTGAGCATGTTAACGACTGTTAACATTCTCCCCCATCAGCCTGCCAGTTACATGAGATGTGCACACAGAGAGCACGGATAGGGCACTACAGATGTGCTCCTGCCCCCCCACACTACAGATGTGCTCCTGCCCCCTACAGATGTGCTCCTGCCCCCCCACACTACAGATGTGCTCCTGCTCCCCTACAGATGTGCTACTGCCCCCCACTACAGATGTGCTCCTGCCCCCTACAGATGTGCTCCTGCCCCCCCACACTACAGATGTGCTCCTGCTCCCCTACAGATGTGCTACTGCCCCCCACTACAGATGTGCTCCTGCCCCCTCACTACAGATGTGCTCCTGCCCCCCCACACTACAGATGTGCTCCTGCCCCCTACAGATGTGCTACTGCCCCCCACTACAGATGTGCTCCTGCCCCCCTACAGATGTGCTACTGCCCCCCACTACAGATGTGCTCCTGCCCCCACACACTACAGATGTGCTCCTGACCCCCTACAGATGTGCCCCTGCCCCCCTACAGATGTGCTACTGCCCCCCACTACAGATGTGCTCCTGCCCCCACACACTACAGATGTGCTCCTGACCCCCTACAGATGTGCTCCTGCCCCCCACACACTACAGATGTGCTCCTGCCCCCTACAGATGTGCTACTGCCCCCCCACTACAGATGTGCTCCTGCCCCCCTCACTACAGATGTGCTCCTGCCCCCCCACACACTACAGATGTGCTCCTGCCCCCCCCACACACTACAGATGTGCTCCTGCCCCCCTCACTACAGATGTGCTCCTGCCCCCCTCACTACAGATGTGCTCCTGCCCCCTCACTACAGATGTGCTCCTGCCCCTCCCCACACACTACAGATGTGCTCCTGCCCCCCCCACACACACACACATACTCTGGCCTGGAGGACCTTGGCTTATTGTTGCTAGCCTCCCCTGCCCTTCAAAAATGCTGAAAGAGCAGAAGGGGTCAGGGAACCCCTTGTCTGAGTTCACCAACACCAGCATCCGATTTTCGCTGCCCACAGACCTCTGGGAAACTGAGAATGGCTGCTCCTCCCTAGAAGGTCGGCCATGCGTTCGAGGTTTGAGACTGCATTGTACAGCCCATCTGTGCGACTTAAACTGCTTAGTGATTCTTACCCAGTTCTCCACTCCTCTCCTCCACACACCTGGAATGTCATAACTATCCATGTGACAACACTCCCCCAATGTCCACAGATGCCTGAGTCCCTGGTTGGGCACATGGCAGTTCCTTTATTTCCTCTTTAGATGAAAACAAATGTGGACAAACTCAATACCATTCTATGGGAAAACCGTGACTGTTAGGGACTGGGCTTTCTCTTTTCTTGGTGTGTGAGATTCGTGAGTGTTGATATTCACTGTGGGGGGGTGCAGCCTGCACAGGCCATGGCAGGGTATAAAGGTCAGAGCACAAGCTTCCCTTTAGGAGACAACCTTCACACTGTCTTTGCAGCTGCCAAAGCCATGCTAGCTAGTCTACCAACTTCTGGGGTTTTTGTGGGCATATGCTGAGGTAGGGATGCTTACACGGCTTCCTCTGACCTTTATAAGGGTTCAGGGGACTTGAACTCGAGTTGTGAAGTGTGCACTGCAAGCATTTAACACCCTGAGTGATCTCTGCAGGCCTGGAGACTGTTTCTAAGTGACTGATTGGGAAACTCTTGCCGTGTCTGCCGCATGGTGCGCACCATGACAGACAAAAGCCTACACAGATGGAGTTAGTCACGGGAACCTGGCCGTGGGGATTTATTATTTATGATTTGTTAAAGCTTGCCTGAGGATTCAGAAAGCAAAACCAGCTGCAAGCTATAGAGGTCAGGCAGTGGTGGTGCACACCTTTAATCCCAGCAGCTACAGAAACTAGACAGTGGTAGGACACGGTTTTTAGTCCCAGGACTCAGGAGAAAGGCAGATGGATCTCTGAGTCCAAGACAACCCTTACCAGAGAGTTAATCAGAGCTCATGCCAATAGTCCCAGGACTTGAGAGGTATAAAAAGTAGAGGCGTTCAGTCTGAGAGTTAGTCTCTAGCCACGATGAGGAGAGCACAGCAGTCTGAGTGAATCTGAAGAGCAGTGAAGTCAGGAGCAGTCTGGGGATCGCCCCTTTGGTCTACGCTCAGGTAGAGGTAGGAGCTAGTGGCTGGCTGCTTTGCTTTTCTGAACTTCAGCTTGAAGCTTGAACCCCAATATCAGTCTCTGGGTCTTTTAAGTTTTGTGCTACACCTGGCCAATAAAGAAAGAAAAAAAAAATCCTAAGCTTCATGCACAGAAGACTAGGTAAGCAAATGAGTTATGGTGCAAAATCAGTACATAAGTAAAACATAAACTGTAGTGCAGCCTTGGGACAGAAAGGGAGAGCCTTGTGTAACAGTACAGAAAACTTCTCAAGCAAGGTGCATAATGTATAGGCATATATTATTCTACAATTTGTGTGAAAAACCAAGCTCTTGTGGTGCCAGATTCATAGCTTTTGAGGGGACTGCTGAGCCATGGGGTCAGCAGAGCTTTTGTGCCAGGCTCACTGATCATTTGATATTTCAAACTATTTGGATGTATTGTCCATTCAGAAAGGTACATGGAGAGGTGTTGGGCTTCAGTGCCAGGGTAACAGCTGTTGGCTTTTACTACAAGAGCTTAAACTGTTGTCTCCTGTAGAAAAACACCCCAGTGAGGTGCTTCTTTGGATTACTTAATTGGTTTAATTAGCATCAATTAGCACCGCCCCACCCTGCCCCCAGGGCGTGTCATCACTTTACACAAACAGATCACACCTGGTCCATGGAGGCATCCTAACTCCACAGCCTTCAGCAGTACACTGACAGAGTGTCTGATAGCCTGGTTCGAGCCGCCAGTTCTGATCCCTGTCCTTCCACATCACACAAAGTAGTGGGGACATAAATCAATCTTGCCTTGAGCTAAGCGGTTCTGAGCGCCGTGTATTATCAAGAACTACCTCTGTACCAGCTAAGATATCATTAGAACCAAAAAAAAAAAAAAAAAATTACCCATAAGCAAAAATACATGTGACTATGTTGGGGGTAAAAAAACAAAAGCTGGAGAACTGCATTTATGATTTCTCCATTTTATCCCTAAAACTATTGAGGAAACATTTGCTCGATGCCGCAGTCATTCTCATCAGGGACATGGGATTCAGTACATGAAGATGTCAATGGATGGACAACACATCCTGGTAAATGGGAAAGACGACGGCACCCTTGTCTACCTCAAATGGAAGTAAGCAATGTTATGTGGTATGTGTTTAAAATTCAGAAAGCCAGTATCTGAAGAAATAGACTGCTACACTCAGAGATCTGAGCGGACAGAGGGCACACCGTGCTTGCTGTGGGAAAGCCCCAGGCTGGATAAGGATGCACAGGAAGACACATAGTTAGAGCTCCACTTCCAAAAGAAGGATCTAGAAAGCTGGGATGGATAAGGTCATGAAGTTCTGAGTTGTAGGGGCTACTCCTTGTTGTAGCTGAGGAACAATGGCTGTAAGTGTGAGAGCTTCCTTCCCCCAGTTGTTTGGAGTATAAACTCTGGGTTGGTTGGTTGCATTTGCAAGAGTGTTCTAGAGGGAATTGGCTCACCCTGTGTCAGCAACATGACACCCAAAAGAGAGCTTGGATTTTAAATGCTGTCTTTTTGTTTGTTTTGGTTTGGTTTTCGAGACATGGTTTCTCTATGTAGCTTTGGAAGCTGTCCTGGAACTAGCTCTTGTAGACCAATCTGGTCTCAATCTCACAGAGTTCCACCTGCCTCTGCCTCCCGAGTGCTGGGATCAAAGGCGTGCACCACCACAGCCCAGTTAAATGTTGTCTTATGGGAGCTACTGATGGACATCACCTACTGATCACCTAAGAATTTGGGGAGCCACTTATTTCAAGGATCCATTTGAAGATAGCATCATCACACCAATTTCATACACAAAAACCTTGAGTAAAACAGAAACTTGCATCTTAGTAAATAAGTCATAACATACCCTTTACAGTCAATGAATAACAGTGTCTCAGGAGACAGGAAACAAGCATAGGAGCCCTATTTTAAAAAGGAAGGCCAGTGAACTCCCACACTACACAAACTCGTGTTATAAGACTTATAAGCCTTATGACACATAGGCATTCAGTGATACCACTAAGTCTGTGGTTCTCAACCCATGGGTCATGACCTCTTTGGGGGGGGGTTCACAAATTAGATATCCTATATTCCAATTACTCACATCATGATTCATAACAGTAGCAAAATTATAGTTATGAAATAATAACGAAATAATTTTGTGGTTGGGGGGTCAGCACAACATGAGGAACTGTATTAAAGGGTCACAGCGTTAGGAAGGCTAAGAACAGCTGCTCTAAGTTGTCTCTAACAGTGTCACTCAAGGGTGGTCCATACCTTCTGTGAATGTGTTAGAAACCCGTATCTGGGTGCCATGCCCTCTGCCGACCTCAGAACATCAGCACTTGTCCTAGCTTGCTTTTCTGTTGCCCTGATAAACGCCATTACCAGAAGAAACTCAGAAAGAGATGGTTTATTTCAGCTTGCAGATTTGTAGTCCATCATTGAGGGAAGCCAAGGCAAGACTCAAGGTAGGAGCTTGACAGAGAAACCTTGGAACACCGCTTGCTGGCTTGTGTGTACAGCACAGACCCGCCTACCAAGGGATGGCATCACTCACTGTATGCTAGGGCCTGTTACATCAGCAATCAAGATAATTCCCCAGACACATGCTCATAGGCCAGTTTAATGGAGGCATTTCAACTGATGGCCCCTTTCCTAGGTGACAACAAACACTACCCAGCAGAGTCAATAGACTCAGGAAGGTTTTCCCCAAGCCTTCCCACATATATTAGCATGAAGTTCCAGATGCCCTGGTGTGTAGCATGGAAATAACCTTTGGGGTGGGCTGTGAGGGCTAGATCCAACAATGAGATCGTGTATGTGATGAAGCCTGGTGCATTCTGGGGGCTCAGCTAGAGTAGTGGCTCTCCCGTGTGGTGGCCAAAGGCCCTTTGGGTGAAGGTACAGGACAACATAAGGAGAGACCACCCAAGAAGGGTCAAGAGCCTGTGTCCTTAGAAGTCCATGAAAGGGCCCTTCTGAGAAATAGAGGCCCAGTGCCTAAATGACTAAGGGGCACCGTGGAAAACTTCCCCGTGTTCCTTTGTGTAGTTATCTGGAAATAACACTGCTGATTTGTGATTATTTTTAACTGATTGTACGTGTTCTCTCTCTGTTTCTCCCCCCCCCCCTCCAACATTAGGCGGCTTGGAACAAACTTAGCAAATGAGATCTTTGAACACTGCCAGCAACTAATAGCCGCTCTGAACAACACAATGGAAAAAGAAAATGAATATTTAGCTACATCAGGAGTTTCCCAAGATGCAGAGCAAGAAGATGAACAGTCAACGGAATCCTCCAATGTAGCTAGCTTGCTTTCTCCCTCTTTATAAATAAGATGGGAATTTTCAGTTTATAGTTTTCTTTAAGCACATATTTAATGCTATTTCTTTTTACCCTGCCCGGTGATTTAATGAGAATATAAGCTACATCTCACAGAAAAACTCAGCTTTTCTTAAAATGATCACAAATATTATATCTCAAATTTCACTAAGATCTGGGCTTCCTCAAAATTTTTATTTATTTATTTATTTATTTATTTTTACTGATATCGGTGTTTGGTCAAAGCAGTCTCTCTACCTTCATATCATATGATTGAGGAAGCATCTGACTAAAAAACAGTATTTATTTGCTTCTTCAACAAGTACTTTTAAAGATTAAATAGAAATCACTTTATTGTAATGCACTCACATGTAAAACCCCACAGCTAGTTGAGGGAAGCCACTGAAGCCACTGCAACACTATTCCACTCTCAAACTCTATACACCTCGCTCACTTGGACACCGTGGCGTCGGGCCTTCCGAAGCGATGGGGGTTTATACTTCCACTGGCAGTCATAAGTTGGTTGCTTTTGGTTTTTGTCGTGTTTATATTTTTAAGACAAACTCTCATTACATAGCATTGGCTGGCATAGAACTGACTTATATAGCAGGCTAGCCTCCAACTCAGAGATTGGACTGCCTCTGCCTGTTACATTTTCAAATATGGACCCACCCCAAAAGAAGAACTATCACAATGAAATAGAAAGGGATTCAACAACAACAACAACAACAATTATTGGGTACCTACAAAGTGTTAGTCTAGGACAGACACAACCATGATGGAGAAGATGATCTTATCTTTTCTGAATTTGCACTCCAGTGAGGCTGCCGGTATTTAGTAAAAAGGTTACGTAAGCAAACACAAACCAACTGATTCGGGAACAAGGGCTACTCATGAAATAACAACGGTCCATACAACAGTGTTCGGTGGACTAGCCCCTCCATAAGCTAAGATCAGACTTAAAGAGGGTGCCCCCTTGCAAAGGAAGGGCAGGAGAACTCAGGACGGAGGACAAGGAGCTTGGTGTATGATGTGTGGGGACCAGCAAATCATGACGCAGAGACATTATGAGTCATGAATGCTCAGCCTAGCTCAGGCTGGTTTCTTGCTAGCTCTTTTAACGTAAATGAACCTGGTTCTCTCTTCTACCTTAATCCTCGGGCCTTTTTACCTTTCTTTCTTCTGTCTATCTTTCCTGCTGTCTCTGTGGCTGGCTGGCTGGCAGCTGCCTGGCTTCTGGCCCCAGGCATGTCCCCCTCTTTCTCCCTGGTCTCTTCTCTCTTCCTCTTCTGGATCTTAGGTTTCTCCCCCTATTTATTCTCTCTGCCTGCCAGCCCCACCTATCCTTTCTCCTCCCTACCTATTGGCCATTCAGCTTTTTATTAGTCCAATCAGGTGCCTTAGGCAGGCAAGGCGAAACAAATGTAAGACATCTTTACATAGTTAAACAAATGCAGCACAAACAACTGTAACACATCCTTACCTTACATCATTAAACAAACGCAGCACGCCTCTACAGTTAAAGTAATTTCCACAACAATTAGTCTCTAAACCGTCTCCATTTCCCCGGTGGCAGCTGTATGAGGCTTAAAGGCTTCATCTAGGCAGGCACACGTCCAGAGTTATTTCTAAATGAGACAAGGGCAAAAGGGATCAATGAAGCCAATGTGAAGTACGGCAAGAAGAGTCTGACAGTTTTTAAGAACCATCTATCCCCTTCTAATCTCTCTCAGAAGAAGCTGAGCTTGGACTCATCACAAGAGGAATTAGCCCTTGGTCCTGAAAAGGAAATTTCCTGGATCCAACAAAGACGGGAAGAGGTATTTATTCATTTATTCACTTATTTATTCTTGCTTGTTTATTTGAGTCAGGGTTTCTCGGTGTAGCCCTGACTGTCCTGGAACTCGCTAAGTAGACCAGGCTGACCACAAACTCAAAGATCTGCCTGCCTCTCTGCCTCCTGAGTGCTGGGACTGAAGGTGTGTGCTACCATGCCCAGCCTATGAAAAGGTGTTTGCAAAGCACGAGGCAGGTTTGAATTAATGCTCTGTGATGTTCATACTGCATTTTGTTTCTACGGAAACCTATGGGGAATGTTAGAATGTCACATGAGGCACTCTTTACATTACATTGCATTGTACAAATGACTTTTCTAAATGCAAATACACACCTAAGCCAGAGAGAGTTCCAGGATGACCAGGGCTACACAGAAAAGCCCAGTTTCAGAAAAGAAAAAAAAAATTATACACACACACACACACACACACACACACACACACACTTATACTTAACCTGAAACCCAACAAAAGTATTCAGGAAAGTCAAAATCAAGAAGGACCCGTAGACTCCATTTTGTTTTTGAGGAATGTTGTCTTAAAGGGGTAAGTTGGGGACAGAACGGCTACTGTGGCTGACGACATTCCAAAGATGAGCAGCAGGCTGAAGGCAAGGCCTGGATCCAGTGTCACTCAAGTTCAGGCCAAGGAACACATTAGGTTAGTTTTCCTTTGTCACTATTTGATTGTCTCTGCTTATTTCTATTTTGTGTGATGGGCATCGGTTTGATGTTGTTTGGTGGTCATTTACAAACACAGATTTAAGCGAAGTATCCCAGGGACGTGATTTCATTGCTTGTTTTATTTTCTTATTTTCCTTGGATGCATATTCATGTGTTGGCTTGTGAGCATATGTGCATGTACGTGAAGCCTCAAAGTTGATGTCGGGGATGTTCTCCATCACTCTTCCGCCTTACTCACTGAAGCAGGGTCTCAGTCAAACTCAGAGCTTACCAGTATGGTTAGTGCTGCTATCCGGCTTGCTCTGGGAGCTGCCCTCTGGGAGGCTGGAACTGCAGGTGGGCTGTCACACCCATCTGATATTTATGTGTGTTTCTGAGGATCCGAACCTTGGTGCTCACAATTGTGTGGCAAGTCTTTACTGCCTGAGCCATGCTCCCTCCACCCCCTATATTTAGATCATAGTCTTTGCAAATGTTCTGTTTCAGTTTTAAAGACATGCTGCCTGTGTATCTATCAACAATCCGTTGTCTCTCCCCGCCATCTTCCCTTGCCTTATTAAGCTGAGGTGCTTGCTCCATTTCAGGCCATCAAAAACGAGGTCAAGCTGTTTTCACAAAAAAGGAGAGAGATCAAAAAAGGAATCAAGGAGCTTTCTAGAATTGTAAGTGCCATGGTTGCGTCTTCCATCAAAAAGTGACGTTTTCGTCTTACTCTGTTTCACACCATAAATTCCTGAGGGTTCCAGGGCATTCTAACGGGGTCAAAACTTTGCTACATCACACTCCAATATTAAACAGTGGTCCCCCCCCCGCACTTCCTTCCCTAAGTGCCCACAGCACCCTATGTTGTGTTTTAGTACTTATTTCTTCAAAGTTATACGCCGACCTTTTTGTTTGTTTAAAAGCAGCTCTGTCTCTCTTCGTCATGGTTCTCATACTCCTCCGACTCCCATCTTTCTTAAATGGCCTACTAATACTACTATATACATCCCTGCACGCTGAAAAAAACTATATTCAGTATTCATCTGTTGCAGCCATGTAAATTGCCAACTCTTGGTCATGTGGTATATTACAATTATACAACCATTTTTACTTTTCTCCCCCAGGATGTACTAACTCCCCCTTTGCATTTCTGTGCATCTGTTATCTATTCAGACTCTCAGAGTACAGTGCAGTCAAGTATATGTTGTCCCCTCCCTTCTAGAGCTGTCCATCCTTCAGCTCCAGCCTGAGCCCCTGCTCTGCAGGCCAGGCCCATGGCTGCTGACTGTAGGCCTCCTCTTGTTCATTCTCCTGGAAGGTAGTTCTTATCATTAGGTTGTGTTGCTTAAACTGATAGTTTACATACTTCAGCCTACAAAAAAATCTGCAAAAATGTATGAGTCAGGGGCCATCAAGATGTCTCAGTGAGTAAAGGCACTTGTAACCACAAGACTAATGGCCTGAGTTGGATCCCTAGGACCCACACGGCAGAAGGAGAGAATGGACTCCCACAAGTTGTTCTCTGACCTGGATGCCTAAGCCATGGCACCCCTGACCATATCCTCTCAGAAAAAAGTAAACAAAATGCAATAAGTACATGCATATGTCAATCAATGGCAAGTGTTTCTGTCTTTATAACTTTTTAAAATACGCCTTTTAAATGCAGTGTTCTGAAACTAAAGGCCTCCCAAAAGCTGGCCATGAAGTGCATGCCTGGTCATGTGCCCTGCCCTTCCCTGTTGTTTAATTACTGTGTAAGTTACTTTTATGGACCCTATAAAGGATGGCTGTTACTCATGTTTTCAAATAAACAGTCCATTTCCCAGAACTCTTTTCTAAATTGACTATACCACCCCTTCTCCACGAATGCCCAGCACTTCTCCTCCAGGTCCAGAACACTCTCTGGACTCACTGCTGTGAGTGGCCACTTCCCGTTGGCAGCGCCAAGCTATTATTCACTCAGTATTATGGGTTCATGAATGTTTTTGGATCTTGAGAGTAAGTCCCAACTTGACACTTCTTTTTCAATATAAATTGTGTGGACATTTGCTTTGCTGTTTGAATTTAAAATACCCTGACAAAGGCAACTTAAGGACAGGTCTACTTGAGCTCACCATTCAAGGCTCTTGGTGGGGAAGCTTAGGAGAAAGGAGCTTGAAGCTGCTGGTCACAGGGCATCTGCAGTCAGGAAGATGTGAACAATGGATGCTTGCTTAATTTCCCTATTGTTTATGTCCACAATAAAAAGAATCCCCATTAGTTCACTATTCTATTTTCTTAGACGCCTATGTGTTACTTCAGCTAGTTTTAACTGCTTGGGTCCTTTAATAAATAAGTAATTAAGTTTCCCAATTTTTCCTCTTGATTCAGTTCAGGACCCAAGCCCAGAGAATGGGAACACCCACTTTGACTGAGAATCTTTCCACTTCAGTTAACCTAACCAACCTAACTCTCTATAGCCACTTCTGGAAGCCAAGACCTTCCCGACCTGTTTGCCCTGAGACTTGTCTCCTCGGTGAACCTGCTCCACCACAAGGACAAACCGCTGTTTCTGTCACTTGATGACTGAATTTCTAAGTCTCAAACCTAGAAGTTTAATAAATGCAATAAGCCTAGGATCAAATTCTTTATTCCACAGTACATTTAGAGAAATACAGCACCTATTCCGTTGTTCAGCTCTTTACCTGTGCGCTCTCTCTCTCTCTCTCTCTCTCTCTCTCTCTCTCTCTCTCTCTTTCAAAATTTAGATTACCAGTATGATGGAAGAAAATGAAAAGGTGGACTCAGTTGCAAAATTAGAGGGGCAGGAATTCTGCCTGGACCTTGAGGAGCTGGAAAGACTTCAGGATGAAAGTGAGGAGGAGGTAGCAAAGGTAGGAAAGCCCTCAGGGAGGCCCCAAGCATGCCATGGGACACAGAGCAAAAGGATGCTGGCAAAGGCTCTTCCCGTGTTAGTTTCCCAGCACTGTGGTATCTGGAAGATGTAAATACCAGCCCTGGACTTAGTCCCCCTGGAGGGAGTTTCTAACAGCTGGCCGCATAAGCCCATCTACCCTCAGCACATTGGGAGTAAAATGTGATTCCATGAGAGAAGAAGGGACACCCAAGTCAGGGGTCTCAATGACCCTAGCGTCATCCTCAGCCCAGACACTGGGGTTCCACAGTCGAGGACCCTAAACGGAAAGGAGTTGGTCAGAGTGTATAGAGTCAGCAGAGTGTATGGTCAGCAGGGTATAGAGGCCAGAGGACTAGAACTCAAGGTAACTGGTATGTCAAGGACAACTGTATTGGCCATTGACTCAGTGGATCAGAAGAAAAAGGAAAGGAAATGCAAATTTAACCAAGTCATTGGATCAGCAAACAAAACTAATAAAAAGGAATGTGGAGAAAATTAATCTGAGAGACTATTCTTAACCAGTTTGTAAATAATCCTGCCACCAAGGTGAAATGCAAGGAAGTTGATAGACAGGAGCCTAAGGAACAAGGATTGTTATGGGTCACTTGCATACCATGCTTTGGGCAGACTCTAAATAGGGACACTTCATTGCTTGTCTGTTAAGAGAGATCTGCAGATAAAGCCAATTGAAGTTACACATGTGCTTATAAATTCTAAGAAAGCAAATAACCTATTTCCCTAGATAAGTTGGTATTCTTTTTATTGCACACATAAATAACGGAGGACTTAAGTACAAAGTTGCAGACACAGGCCATGAACCGGCCCTTGGATTTGTGTTGACAAGAATGAAGATAGCAGTGAATACCCTGTGGCACCACATTCAAGTATGGATCCCAGTCTCCTCCTGATTAAACAGGAAGATGGGACTGGAAAGACTTAAAAAGCAAAACAAAACTGGGCGTAGCTGCTCATCTCTGTAATCCCAGCCCTGGGGAGGCTGAGACAGGAATGGACCTGAAACTCAACAGACCGGCAACCTAGTCTGTGTGCAGAGTCCCACAACAGTGAGAGACACTGTCTCAAAAGACAAGGCATCCTGAGGGGTGACACTTGAGGTTGTCCTCTAGCAAGTGGGTGCGCATGTGTACATGTGTCTACATGGAGAGAACCCAGGAAGACGTGGCTCTTGACTCCCCTCCCGCCCACCCCCACCCCCACCCCAGGTCTGCCTAGACCAGCCGTGCTGCTTATGTTATCTCTAGGAGTGTCTGTCCACACAGCCCCTTTTGTTCACGGGTGTGATCTGGCCACCCTTGTAGGCATTTACCCTGATACAGCAGTCTTCAAGGCAGGCGGTGGAAGCCTTGACCCAAGCCTTAGGAAGCATTCTCAAAACGGGGCTGGGTGGGCCAGAAGTTCATCACAGGGTAGGGGCAGCTCAAGGTGGGGGAAATCCTCTAAAAACACTCCTGCTAAGTGGGCAGCTCTGGCTAGTTAATAAGCTGGTGAGAGCATATCTTTTTTTCCTAAGAGGCCATATTTTCACTTTTATCTTTTCCCTTTCTCCAAGATAAGGAAAGACGTGGAGATGCATAACTTAGCCAAGAGCTACTTAACTGAGCTCATCAGGGAAGAGTGCTGGAATTCCATGGCTGTGAAGGGCCGAGCCCTGAAGGTAATAAATGGACACACAACCCAGGCGCAGAATCCCAACTTTTTAAAACGTAAAGAAAATCCACACAACAGAACAGGCCTTGCTACCCTACCCCCTGCACCACAGGTGTCTGACACCTTCCTTTGGTTCATCCGTGCCTCTGCTCAGTCTCACGGGCTTCGAAGACTGTATTTCCAGGTTGCCTCAGTACCTTTTCCTCCGTCCTCTATAATGCCCCTGCATCCTTCCCTTAATGCCTTCCATCCCCAAACGCTGTCTACCCCCATGTTCCTTCCACACAGAGTAAGAGGTTGACAAAACACTGTTCACATTTACACTTCCATTTACCAACTGCGTTCTGAATCGCCGTTCTTTTCGCTCTTTGAATAGCGAACACGTAGGGTAAACAAACATCCCGGTCTACGCTTATGTCCTTAGATAGCTACAACAGCACCTTTCCCCTCTTTCAAATATGCCTTTCCCTACCCATCCGCACTTGGATGATAAAGTTCCCATTTGTGTGAATGGGAAGCTTGGGCAGCACATGTGGAGCTGGGTGGCTCTGTGTTGCCAGGGTTATCCCAGGTACTGATGGATGTTTTGCACCCTCCTTGGCCTCTATACTAGCAGGGACATCTTCGTACTGCTGTAGCAATAGACAAAGTCTCTAGACACTCCCCAAAAATCCAAGACAGGAGGAGGATGTGGGAAAAGTCAGCCTTGAGAATCATTGCTCTAGAAAGATCCCCTTCACAAAAAGCATGCTGTTTGACACAACGGTTCTGCCCACAGGAACTGCATTACACTTTGATTGACACAATGGTTCTGCCCCTAAGAACCTCATTAGGCTGCCTTATTTGAAAGGTTTCTGGTGTCAATTTCACTCCTTGTGGAGTAACCTCTGGGTTGATTCTAATGAGAGGAAATACCCTGTGCTCCCTGGATACCCACAAGTGTAGTAGAGAATGAACTTGTGTTATCTCGCTTTCCACCCAAGTGCTTTCACATACCTTATGTGGTTGAGAACTTCCCCATGAAAGCGCGCACCGAGGAAGAGCTGCAGGAGTTGAAGAGAGTTATACAGCAAAAGAAGACCGAGGCAGAGTGTCTTAAGGTACCAAACATGCGTGTGTGTTTACATATACGATGTGATCTATTATCCCTGAGCTGGCTAGTTTTATGTCAATGTGACTCAAGCTAGAGCCTTCAGAGTTGAAGGAACCTCAGTTGAGGGACTGCCTCCCTAAGATCAGCTGTAGAACATTTTCTTAGTGACTGATGTGGGAGCCCACAGCCCATTGTGAGTGGTGCCATCCCTGGGTGGGTGGCCTGAGGTTCTAGAATGAAGCAAGCTGAGCACACTAGTAAGCAGCACCTCACCCTACCCCCCATGGCCTCTCTGCATCAGCTCCTGCCTCCTCCATGTTCCTGCCCTGCTTGAGTTCCTTTCCTTACTTCCTTCAGTGATGAACAGTGATGTGGAAATGTGAGCCAACTTACTCCTATACTTACTCTTGTCATGGTGTTTTTATCACAGCAATAGGAGCCCTAGCTAAGACAGGCCCCATCGTGTGGATTTGTGCTAAGATTAAATGATTAAGTGTGTATATAGTGTGTATTTATTTCTCTAATTTATAGACTATATCCTCATAAATATATAATCCTATATCCAAATAATAAAAAATATTATATCCTATATGTTGATTAGTCTTCAAGTATGTGAATTTACTTTTGTAAAATGTGACGTGGGTGCTGTTCAGAGGTTGTCTGGCTCTCCAATCCCTTCTCTGTCCACCCTTACGTTAGGGGTCACGCTGTATGGTCATTGACCATAGATGAACTGAATCTCTGTTGGTGGAATTTATGATTGTCCAAAAGCAATCCCAGCTACAATTCTTAAACAACAGTCTCCATCAAAGCAGTAAAAAGTGTCCCTTTGGCATAACTCAGCTTTGGCCAGAACTTTGTACCCCTTCTTTTTCCGAAACATAACATGAAGGCATACTTAAATCAACTTACACTCTCTAATCCCACGTGAACAAGTTCCTTGATGAAATATGAGGAGGAGATACTTTTTTTGAGTTTAAGTACCAGGAGAGACTGAGAATATTTACAAGCAGGTATCCTGACACAAAAACATAAATAGTGTGTGCCAGCAGGGGTCGCTTTTACTCTTGATTTACAGTGAGTCAGCTTCTAAAGCTTCCATCTCTTCTGCCACCATTTCAGCATCCATCACATTGAGCCAAATAGTTGGCAAGACAATTTAACCTCTTAAGGTGATTGTTGAAGTAATTAAATCACCTGGAAATTGGCCTTTGTGGGATTCTGACTACATGACCTGCATGTCATCTCTTCTTCCCTATACTCAGCTACGGAAGGAAATCATAGAGGTCCAGTCTTCAGGCACTTTGCTTAAAAAACATCATGAAGAGGAGGAGGAGGAAGAGGATGAAGAAAAGACAATAAAAGACACCAGTCTGCCCAATTACCTACTCGGCAGTTTGAGTACTGATTTTGGGGCAGATACCTCTTTGTTGACAAGTCAATTGGAACTTCATTCCAGAGAGGAGAAAATCAATCAAATTATATTACTAAAAGTGAGTGAATTTCTTTTTTCTTTTTCTTTTTTTTTTTTAATTAAAAAAAATCCCTGCCATTGCCCCACAAGGTGCCTTTCAAGGGCTCACATTGAAGTGTAGCAGTCAAATGATGTCTCTCTACACCTTGAGAAATACACAGATGACTAGCATTCACATCTTATAGACAGAGCTTGTATGCAAAGGACACTCCCACCCATTCAACCTGGATTTGATGGTGCCACGTTTTCCAGGGAATGCTTTTCCTTAACTGACACACAGACATTCTTCTTAGAGCTTTAGTTGGCTCAAAGAATGCTTTAATTCCATGTGCCCAGTAACCCATGCATCACTTGGGATGTTGTAAGGTCAGGATGTGACTGCTCTTCTGTCTACGTAACTCAGAGAAATACAATGGCCTCCTCTGGCTGCAAGTTCCTGCTCCTTGACTTCTGCCAATGTGCCAGTCTCAGAACACACCTGGAACGGAGAAGACGCTACTGAATTTTTTTTTTAATCAACAACTAAGATTGTAGATGGTTTGAAATTCCATTAGCTGTTCGAGTTCTCAAAGGTTCTTCGCCGTGTCTTCCGTTTGTGTCCCCCTTTCCCTGTCCCTTGGCCCTTGCTTCCCATCCTTTCCTCCTCCTCCAACCCGTGGAACATCTGTTCATTTACACACAGAACTGTTTAGTCACCTCTGATCGGCTCCTGACCCTCTTCCTGCTGCCATGTTTGAGCCCAACAGGTGCTAGGTGTTAAAATTACTCCCAGTCTACTTTAATGATTTCATCTTTACTGGGAGAAACTGAAGGACCAGACTCTGGCTTAACATAAACCAGCATTTGAGTAAGAGCTGTCACTTGAGTTGAACTTTCAGTGCTTGGGTTGAGTTGGGCAACCCAACTCATGATCATGATGCCACCATAGCCATTGGCTGACCTGGCTCGCTAACTCATGTCCCCCTTCTATTTGAGAACAACTTACTTCTATCAAAGAAGCACGCAGGCACAGTGGTCCTTCTCTGTAAGACTCTCCGAACACCATTGCTCCCTCTCTCCAGGCCTCCATCACAGTTTCCAAGGAAGGAGACCTGAGTTCTGGATGTTTCTTCATAAAGTTTTAGGGTAGATTTCTAAGGACATGCAAAAAAGTAGAATTGTCCAATAAGCTTCCAAGTACCCATCAGTACTTTCTAGCAGACCTGCATGTTGAATTACAGCTCACATTTTAGGAAGGAGGCAGCTAGGGTGTAAATCTTGCTGCTGCCTTAATCCAAGCCCAGCTAGCTACCACTGTATATTATTAAACCTAGAAATGACTTGCTGTCAACACCAGTCTGGGAAGGTAATTTTGACCTTCCCAGTGATAATTTCTGGGATGATCTTAGAGGTATATATAGGATTATGTTACTGGAAAAGATGTAAGTTACAACGTGTCTTCAGTAACCTATTGGTATTTCAGGATATCATCTACAAGGTAAAAAAGTCTTTCAATAGTGAGTTTGATGCTGCCTATAAGCAAAAAGAGATAGAAATTGCTCGCGTAAGGGAAAGGAATGTTCGAATTGAAGAAATTATTTCAGACCTGGACCTGGAAGACAATGTCTGGCGACCAGTGTTTGAAGATTGTGAGCAGCCAGAAAGGGCCCTCGTGGTGGAAGACGATGAGGTACAGGCTAGCCATCTTATCCCTTTCCGTGTCTCGGGAGATTTTGCCAGCCCTGGTTTGTCCATCTGCTATGTCCATCCTCTACACTATGATTGGGCAGTGCTTAGTCACCGGGAACAAGTGCAACCAGCAGAGACAGGCTCAGCAGTGGGGACCTTTCTTTTTCGGATCCCATGGGTCCAGGGTTCTAAACACCAAACCCAGAGGAAGCAGGAGCCCAAGGCTGGGATGTTGTGGGGGTGTTGAGAAGTCTGTCTTCAGGGGTATCTCATGCCTCTGTGTGGTTTAACCTCTTCTGGCAATTTCCACAGTGTGTCTCTTCTACTAAAGAGAAGGGGTCATCTCAATGAGACTGTAGTTCCCAGGTGTGCCTGAGGAGGCGCCCCTGGGCCGGGCTTGGGTACAGGTATTAGAAGTAGAACCCCAACAGGCTGTGAAGCTGTTGATTTCAGGTAATTATCTAGGTCATTTGGGGTAATACAGGCACAGGGAGAGGGGAAGGAATACTCGATAGCTTTCAATGTCCACAGAAGTGGTTTAAAATAAAAAAATAGAAAGGACTACGTATCATCTTTTTACAGCTAAAAATACAGAGAAAATACACAAAGGAAATCTCTGGCTCATATTAAATAAGCTGAAATTATTTGGGGGCAAAATATAATCGTGTCTAGAAGTAAGTGACAATTTTTGTGATCTATGTTAGTTACCAGGTGCCATTCTAAGGCATTTGTGAAGATGCAAGCTTGATCCCCACTTCACAGATAAGGAAACTGAGGCACAAAGAAGCTAAGTAGCTTGTGCACAGTCTCCCAGCTTATGAATAAGAGCTGAGATCTGAACACTGCCCCCTGGTCACCCTTCAGAGGACAGTCGATTCCCCTCTGCCTACACTGCTTGTTTATTCAAGTCATTTTCCCTTGCCTACTGCTGTGCAGCCTGAGGCCTGAGGCACGGTGACAGCTAAGACCTCACTCTGCCACCCTCTAAGGTCCCCATCACAGCAATCACTTTTGCAATGTTACTGAAGACCAGCTGTGCTTGGCTTGAGCTCCAAGCCATACCACAAGCAAGAGAATGGTTGTTTTGCATAATCTGGGATGCCCCTGCTCTGCCTGGCTCCTGCACAGGCTACTCATGCCGCCAATGGGAATAAAGCCCTCCTCCTTGTCTGGTCACCCCCCACCCCCACCCCGTTCTGACTCTAAGACCTCTATCATTTTGGATATGACTTAGGTGATTCTTATAAACCTCCTATCATTTTGCCTTAATCTAAATACAATTCCCCCTCGGTGGAGAGAATACCCGAGAGTTAATAGATCTTCCTCCCACAATGAAAAAACTGGTTGAAAATCTGGAATGTTCCTTTAACTGCCCTCCACCCCACCCCATTCCCAATACCATTTAACGTTTTCCCAGAATGTGGAAGGAAAATCTGGCTTGATATTTTTTAAGAAACTCAACAAGAAACTATGCTTTCTCTTTCAGATTTCATTCCAAAAACATCTTCCTCCATGGCAAAAGTCCAAAGCAGAAATTACCATGCCCTTTGAAACGGGACAATTGCAACAAGCACGGGTGTGTGGCTCTGCTCAAATGCTACCCCAAACCCTCTGGCATCCTGGGACACACCCTGCATTTGTCACTTGGACCTAACCCGCCGTCCTTCTGTTCTTTCCCCATGTCACTTCCCAAACGTAATCATTTTAATAGCAGGAAGGCAGCTGCCTGCCATGTTAATGCTCTGTCACGGTCCTTCCCCAGGTATCCAATGCAAGACAAAGAGCCCTGATGGACATGATGGGAGGTGTTCTGGAAGTCAAGAAGGAAGACATCTTGAGAATGGTGAGATGCTCTGTGATCTTTGTAGAAAATGCAATAAGGCAGAAAGAGCTACTTAAATTAAAGCTCATCTGTGTTGTTCCCTGTACAACTCAGTTTTAGAAATTCTGTAGCCCCCACCCCCCCATATTCAGTAACCTACAAAGATGCCACAGTGGGCCAACCACAAATTTGTCTTCCATTCTCTCATGTACACTCACCACCACCATAAAAGGAGTGGGGGAGGGGAGGAGGAGAAGAAATGAGCACAAACGAGCAAGCGCGTTGTGTCCTGGTCTTGCTTCACCTGCAGTTGTTCAGACATACCAGGGACATTCCAGGTCTCCCTGGAGAGCTACAAACATACCGACACCATCTGTGTCTGTTACTTAAGAGGCTGTGCAACCCTAAAATGACCATTCCTCTCTCAGAGTCATGGGTTGTAAGGCTTTTCCACACCCCTCTATCTCAGCATCGATTACTCCCCTAATGTTCCCCCTTTTAGCTGCCATCTGAGCTGGGAGGTTTTGCTGTAGGACCACATTGGTGTAGTTTAGACACTAGAGCATGTGCTTTCCTTGTGTCTCCAGGTGATCCCTCAACCTGCTTTCATGGCGAAGGCTGACGCTCTGTGGACTGAAGAAGAAAGAAAGCAGTTCAAAGATTATGAGAAAAAAGTCAAGGAGCTAAATGAAGAGAGAGATAAGTACAGAAAGGTTAGAAGGACAGAAAATAAGCAAGACATCTCTAGACTCTCTAGGTCAAATTTTTCCCAGTGCCTCTAAGAACTTCATGATAATGAGAACTTAGAGAAGTTGGGATAGAAAAAAAAAAAAAAAAAACTGAAGACTGGGAACATTCAAAACAAAAGAGAAAGACACAACAGTTTTTAAAGTTTTTGTTAGTGACAACACTTTCCACATTGTTACCATCCATCCATCTGACCCTTTGTTCTAGCACATACAAGGTGTCATCAGGGACGCTACAGCTATCTGAGTTCCTATCTGAGTTCAGTAATGCTTGTGGTTGATTCGATCTCAATCTCAAGGAAAGGATTTGAGAAAAGAAAAACGTGATCAGCATGGCACACCGTTCAGTTCTTATTTGAGAGTTTTGTTATATGGTTCTATTTTTATGTTCTTCCAGCTCAAAGAAACATCCCCACATTAAAATATTTTACACTGCAGTAGAGACATTAAAGTCGGTGGTAACTGACCTTGGTAGTGCATACCTACAGTCCCAAGTCTACTTGGAAGGTAGAGCAGGAGCATCAAGGAGAGTCTAAGAAGCCTGGGATACATAGTAAAACCCCTCCAAAAGGGTTGATGTTCTGTAACAGAGCAAATAATATTCTTTTAGGATGATAATAAAACCACACCATCACTCAAGACAGGATAGAATAACTTACCAGCTTTATCATGGCATTATCTTTTCAGAAACTTCTTTGAGTCTATTGCTAACCTGCTTATATTTTTATCCAGTGTAGTTCTCCCTTGTATTTTAAGTAAGTTTAAAAGCCTAACAACTAATCATGGAAGAAGTCAAGGTTTGGAGAGCTAGGGATATAGTTGCCCAAAGACTTGACTAGAGTCAAGTGGGAAAAGTTTACCTGACTCGGGGAATGTCCTCATTTGACTGGCCAGTGGGCATGTCTGTAGGACTTTTCCTTCATTGTTGATTGATGTGGGAGGGCTCAGTCCACTGAGGTCAGTCCCACCCTCGGGCAGACAGTCCTGGGTGGTAGAAGACCACCTGGAAGCAAACAGGCTTCTCCAAGGTGCCTGTCTTGCCCACTTCTGTCCCTGCCCTGACTTCCCTCACGCATGGACTATGACCAGGACATGTGAGTTAATGCTGTCCCCAAGTTGCTTTTGTGATGGCGTTTATCCCAGCAATAGAGAGCGGTAGGAATGGTAGTGACTGTCAACCGTGCTCACTCCATGTGTAATGTATGTAGTTTCCTGCCTTCACCTCACTTCCCCGAGCATCCCTGATAGCGCTCTGGTGAAACCCCAGCCTCGATTAAATTCAGGGTCTGTCCTGGTTTGTCTCCTGCTGCTGTGATAAACACGATGACCCAAAATGACCAAAAGCAACTTGAGGAGGGAAGGGTTTGTTTCATCTTACAGTTTGGAGCCCGTCATGAAGGGAAGTCATGGCAGAAACTCAAGAAAGGAACCCACAAGCAGGAGCTGAAGCAGAGGAAGAACACTGCCTGCCATGGACTTGCTGGCCATGGCTCCCTCAGGCGGCTTTCTGTACAGCCCAGAGTGGCTTGCCCAGGGTGGCTCCAGGGTAGTCAGCTGGACACCACCACCCCACCCCACCTCCTACCCTCCCACACACACAAATAAATATTTTAAAATAAATATCAAAACAAAACCTATAATATAAAAAAAAAATCCAAGGTATTCAAAAAGAGAGGGGAAGCAAAAATTTTAGGACCAAATTTTGTATCTGTAAATTGTTATCTGTAGTCAGAATTTTTCTGGAAAGATTTGTTGCAGTTTGATTTACTGGGCCTGCTTGATTAGTGATCGTTAACATTATTTCCCTCCAATGTAGTTTTCAAACGTCCAGGCTGGGGAGATGGCCCAATGGATGGGTAAAAGTGCTTGTTGCACAAATACAAGGACCAGGATTCAAATTCTTAGATCTCACTTTAAGAAAACCAGGCCTGGCTGTGCATGTCTGTAACCCCAGTGCTGGGGTGGCTGGGGAGTGGGGGCAGGAGACAGGCAGACCCTGAAAGCTCTTTGGCCAGCCAGATTAGCCCAAATGGTGAGCTTCAGGGTTAGTGGTCTCAAAGGAACGCAGCAGAGAGTGGTAACTCGGGACACCCAACATTATCCTCTGGCCTTCACACCTGTCTGCACAGGCACATGCACACACACATACACGTGCACACAAGTATGCACACATGCATATACAACACACACAAATACACATAAAAGGGGGGATAAAATGAGAACTGAACGCAAAAATTCCAAGCACGCAGCATTTCAGATGTGTTCAGGTAGTTCTCTGCCTCCCACTCCTTCCTCCATGCAAAATGCAAGGACCAGCTGTGAAGTGTTTAATTGTCCTATGGCCTCCCATTTAGTCTCTAGAAACAGAACTGAAGAAACTTCAAAACTCTATCCAGGAGAGCACCCAGAACTTCGATGAGCATTTGAAGAGGCTTTTTGAAAGAAGGGTGAAGGCGGAGATGGTTGTCAACCAGGTAAATGAAGGCTTCGCTTCTGTATCTTGTCCTTTTAAGTGGGCTGTGGGGCTCCCGTCATCCTAGGAGCTGACCCTCACCCTTCCCTGGTGCCCATGCCCTGCATGCTGGTGCCCCCTCCCGTCTGGGCACTGCTACACTCCCTCTTTCTCCCGCTGACTTCCCCTCCAGGGTCCTGGCAAGCAGCTGCTTTAGGTAGAGGGAGGCACTCCCGAGAGGTTCTGGGGAGGTGGATGTAAAATAGGAATGGAAAGGCTTTGTCTAGGAATGGTAGTTTGCTCAAACTTGACTCTGCCGATAGCTACAAGGCTGTGCATATGTGTCTAAGCATCAGAGTATACATGGTATGTGGAAAATGCTTCAATAAAGCTGTTATTTTTCTTAATCACGCCTAGACTGCCTCCTTTTACACAGGAATATCTCCTTTTACACATGATGATGGAGGGTGGCAGACTACTAGGAGCTACTGTCACTTCTGCTCTAGAAGACACCATTTAAAAATCAAAGATTGGGATAGAACACTTGCCTTGCATGTGCAAGACTCCAGCACCAACAATGATAATAATAACAATGATTATTTTTATAATATATTATTTTTTTATTATTGCAACTTGTTAAAAACTCATTAAATTTTTCCAAATTCATGGTTTTGTGACATTTTTAAAAGAAAATGCCCAGTGGTCACTGTCTTGGTTTCCTCTTCTGTGGCTGTGATAAAATGCTCTGACAAAAGGGAGAACAGGTTCATTTTTAGCTCAGAGTTTTAAGTTGCATTCTGTCATAGCAGGGCAGCCCAGGCATCAGGAGCTCACTATATCCAGTCAGAGGAGCAATGAATGTATGTGTGCTGCCCATGTCTCTTCCTCCCTTTGTGTGGTCCATGATTCCGGTCCAGTAAGTGATTCCAACCCTCAAAAAATAACTCCTCCCCACAGCCATGCCCAGAGGCCTCTCCCTGGCAACCCTAGAGCCTTTCAGGTTAACAGTCAACATCTGTCACCTTCAAGAGAACAAGGCAATGCTCCAAACTGTAAAGTCTCTAATATCCATACTCACTCTCCTGTACAAGCGCTTCCCCTAGGCAACAAAAGTATAAGGAAGAACATCTCTTTATAAAGTATTTCAAGCCAGGAGGTGAAACCCTGTCTCCAAAAATAAAATAAGTAATTAAAATAATTCAAGCAGTAAATGAAAAGAGTGAAAACAGACAATAATCATTTTGCAACTGTCAGTAGAGTTCCTGGACTCATGCTTGGAACATCCCCAAAGATGTGAGGGGGCCCTAGCCAGAGAAAAGAAGGCTCCAGCCACGGTCTGACCGGACCTGGATCCAGCTGCCGATTTTCAAGGACTAAGGGGTTTGGGAGCCTTCTACGCTACACTGAGCACAAGCCATTGGGGAGACGCAAAACTACAGGCTGCTGAATGCTACAAATGAATTGTGAAGGAAGGAAGGAAGGAAGGAAGGAAGGAAGGAAGGAAGGGAGGGAGGGAGGGAGGGAGGGAGGGAGGGAGGGAGGGAGGGAGGGAGGGAGGGAGGGAGGAAAGGAGGAAGGAAGGAAGGAAGAAAGGGAGGGAGGGAGGAAGGGAGGGAGGGAGGAAGGGAGGGAGGGGACACAAGAGGGCGTGAAGGTTCTAAGAGATTCAGAAGATGTGACACAGTACTATTAATGGACAAGTTATGGCACCATGACAGGGGTTCACACTAAGGTAGAATGACAGAAACACGGGAGTTTGTTATTGTAGGAGTCAAAACAGTACTCATTGCTGGCCTTGAGTCCCCTGATTGACACCTAGGTTCTGTGTTGGCAAAGTTGATTTTTTTTTTTTTTTAATTGAGTGGTAATGACTAAGAGTATTGGCCTGGATCAGAACTCATTAAATAACTCATCCGTGTTAAGTCCTTTTCTGTGTATGTGTTTTCCTCATGCTGAGGGGATAGATGAGGGAAAACCGGCAATACCATTGTAAGTCCCGATTTGACTTAGGCTAGGAACGTTGACCTTCAACTCTGGTCCTCTTCCTGTTTTTTCCACAGGAGGAACTGAAAATAAACAACCTTGTGTTTTCTTTGCTGCTGGATGAAGAGCTGAGCTCCAGGGAGCAGTTCCTCAACAACTACCTCCTGAAGAAGCAGGAAGAGAAAGTAAGTCCCGGGCTCTCGGGCATCTGTGCCGGTGGCTCTCCAGCATCCATGCCCATCGTTCAGATGCAGGCTCCACATCTGGAGCCTTGTTTGAGTAAAGTCACAGACTCGACTCTAATCAAGTGAGACAAGAGACAAATGGGTGCGGTTACAATGATGTCTGCTTATTTTACTGCATAGTTTTCCTTCTGCCATCCCTGTTCAGCCATGCTCATAGTGGATTCCATGTCTGGGACTTCGCTAGATGACCAGGTAGAAGTACCCATGCCAGTCTCTTAATTAGGTGGCATGAATCTGCATCTCATACTCAGAACACTGTAGTTTCAAAGCGATACGCTGTATAGAAGACAAGACCAAATTGATTCTCAGAATAGAGTTCAAAAACAGTTTTTAATACCAGCCGGTGGTGGTGCAAGTTCTAGGACAGCCAAGGCTACATAGAAAAACCTTGTCTCATAAAGGAAAACATAAACAGCACAGCTTTCAAACATGACTGGCTGTAGGACCTTGATCAAAGCACGCAGTCTTTGAAGCTGTGCACAGGCCGCCATTCTCCACGGAATATTGTCCTCTATAGGCCATGTGGTAGTCCCAGGTGTCACTGAACCTGAAGCTATGGATTAGCCTATAGAATGAAAACTTTCATATTCAGAAACACTAAACATGAGCACAAACAGATAAGATAAAGAGATGAATATCAATGCTTATCATTAATACTTAATGTTTCAATGGGCGTCAGCCTGTTGATACTATTAATGAAGCACAGTGTGAACACAGTTACTGCATCATAGATGACTCATGTACTTACTTTTAAGAGTCTGTTTATATGACCAGGAGTGGTGGTGGTGGTTCATGCCTTAGCACTAAGGAGGCAGAAGCAGGCAGATCTCTAAGTTCAAAGCTAGCCTGGTCTACATAGTGACTTCCAGGACATCCAGAGCTACATAGAGAGACTCTACTTCAAAAACAAAACCAAAAGAATAGAAAAGGTCTGTTCATAACATACGCCAAGAACTTTTGCCAGGCGTGGTGGCACATTGCTATCACCCAGCATTTGGGAGGCTAACACAGGAGGGACCATAAGTTAAAGGCCAGCCTGGGCTACATAGTAAGACTGTGTCTGAAATGTATCATAACACCCTGGCAGGCTACCAGACATCTTTGACACAGGAGAGGCTATGTCAGAGAGGCTGGATAACATGCTCACTCTGGCTGTCACCTCATTGCATTCTATGAGGTCTCTTACTCTTAGAATCGCCTGTACCTCTGTTTAACCTGAGAACTCTCCAGTTCAGCTAACTCTCCCTGCCGTTACTGTAGAGCGGTACTTCAATAGCCATCCAGAAAGCACGGGAAGACCTGGATGTATTCAAGGAGCACCACGACAACCTGGTGGCAGAGGACAAAGTGAGTCTCGGGCACATCCACTGGATGGCACTGAGCTGTCGCACTTGGGGTCGGGGTAGGAGATCAGGACATAAATCAATGTCCTTGTAGATTGAGTGTTCTCTCTATCATCTTTAAGTCATGAGTGAATTTCACTTGGTACAGCTATACATTTCTGTAAAATCTGTGTGTTAGAAAGAAGGTTTTGTTTTTATTTCATAAGTCAAGCTTTTTCTTTTGGGGGGAAAATGTTAGTGAGGTCATCAAATTTAGGGTTCTCACACTGGGTTGGTGGAGCCCATGAGTTCCTCACACAGATCACAACAGGAACAATGGCTGGAGTGACAGCAATCAGCCAGAACAAATGAGGCAGATAAGGAATAAGGGGAAATGGATTGAACAGTAACCTGCTTGTTTCCTGAGTAGCTATTATCTGGGGACACTTCTGGATGCCTTTTTAGTATGCCAGCATGCTCCCTAGGAACAGACCCTAAAGGGAGTCTGTGTGTAGAGAATGGCTGCTCTCTAACAACTGTAAAAACCAGGTCTTAATGTCACAGTGACACACACCATCTGCATTTTAGAGATTGTGTTAACCAATGAGAAACGTCTGTGTCTCTTCAATCCTGGAAACAATGTGTTTGTCCTTAGATTCTGGAACGCAGCTTCAAAAAGGAATTTTCTGAAATGTCTGGTCACCAGGTGGATATACTCTACAAACTTTTTAAACGACGGCCAAGGTTTGTATCCCTTAGATTATCATACATGGGGTGCAGAGCCAGAGAGATGGCTCAGCAGAGTTTTAAGCCCAATGATCTGAGTGGCAGCCTTGGGATCACTGCTTTCCCTCCGAGGATTTCATGAGACTATGTTCTTGACAAAGTTTTTGTTCGCAATTTTTTAAAAATAAACTTTAAAATAAAAAATGCAAAAGAAAATAGCTCAAAATAAAGATTACCTAGAGTTTTGAAATATGTTGCTAAGCTGGGAGGAGTATTTGAATAGTTTGCTGATTTCTAACATAATAAATTGAAACTTTTGCCAGGCAGTGTTGGCACACGCCTTTTCACCCAGCACTCAGGAGACAGAGACGGGCAGAACCCTGTGAGTTTGAGGCCAGCCTGGTCTACAGAATGAGTGACAGGACAGGCTCCAAAGCTACAGAGAAATCCTGTCAGGAAAGACCAAATAAGTAAATAAAAGAATAAATAAATTGAAACAATCAAACAAACGCAATGCAGAAGTGGGTTGTGTGGGACAGCTTATGTGAGGGATACAAATTCATGCTTGCACCTTGAGCGAGTTACCAGAAACTCTGAGAATTTAGCCTGGGACTTATCACATGTCTTAATTTCTCTCTGTGTGTGCCTCTGTGTCTTCCTCTGCCTCTCTCTCTCTCTCTCTCTCTCTCCCTCTCTCTCTCTCTCTCTCTCTCTCTCTTTCTCTGTGTGTGTGTGTGTGTGTGTTTGTGCGTGTGTGTGTGTGTGTGTGTGAACATGCTTTGGGGCTGTTTGTTGTCATCTTTTATTTTACTTTATTTTTGAGACAGGGTTTCTCTGTGTAACTTTGTCCTAGAATTAGCCCTTGTAGACCAGACTGGTTTCAAACTCATAGAGATCCGCCTGCCTCTGCCTCCTGAGTGCTGGGACTAAAGGTGTGCGCCACCACCCTTGGCCATCATCTTTACTTTTTGAGACAGATTTTTCTCACTGGCCTGGGTCCTATCAATTCTCCTAGGCTGAGTAGCCAGAGAGGCCCCAGGATCTGCCCATCCAGTGCTGGGACGGATGGCAAGTGTGTGCCCTGTAGGAGGGCTTCTGGGGTGGAGTACAGGTGTTTGTCCTGTTCAGTACTCACGGAGCTATCTCTCTAGTTGTTTCCCTCCTTCAAAAAGCACTTTCTCTTTTTTGTTTTACTTTGCATCTCTTGAGAGAGTCTTGACTATATAGCACTGGCTGGCCTGAAGCTCAATATGTAGTCCAGACTGGCCTCAAACTTTTAGTTATTTTCTTGCCTCTCGAGTGCAGGGATTACAGTGTGGGCTACCAGGTCTGGCTGGGAGTGTGCTAATTGTAAACCCATGGGAAACATTGATCATCAAATAGAATTTTTAGAGATCTAATTCCACTGTCTCTCAGACCCAGAGCTGGCCTTGGGCCAGTAACTTCTCCCAGAAGCCAACTATCCTGTCTCAGAGGTTTGAGTGAAACCATCACTATGGCTGTATACTGTCTCGTGTCTCCAATGGGAGTGCCTACACAGGTCTTTGTACCCTTCTTCTCTCCTTAGCTGCAGTCCAAGAAAACTAAGCTATTAATATAAACAAAGAGGGCCAAGTGGATATGCCATTCAGTCCCAGTGGATACACACACTGCTTATTGGCTATTTATTAGCCTGTTCACATCACACACACACACACACACACACACACACACACACACACACAGTGGGTTTTCTAGCATGGGTAAAGCTGCCAGTGCCAGCAACAATCAGGGGAGCCTGTATGTCTAGGGCCTGTCTGGGGACCTAGAGTATGGAATGACAAAAGTGGGTGCTTGTCCCTGGAGTAACCCACTCATTAGCCCTGAAGTAACAAAAGCAATACGCTAATGGCCTGTTACCAGTGTTTTTGTTTTGTCTGTTGGTATCTGTGAGAGTATAAAATGTTGATGATCGTTTCTTGCTAAAATCAGGGTCCACAAACAGAAAACACAGGCAGATGTGAACAGTCTTGTTCCATATGGAGATCGGCCAGGATCTGGCAAGTTAAGTAAGGACAACTTTGCCCAGCTAATGAAATCCATGGATGAGTTGGACAATATCAACAACATGCCAGAAGGCTTGGACCCCTCAGTCTGGGAACATTTCTGCATAAGCAGGCGAGCAAAAGTGGAAAATGAATACAAAGTATGCAACTTTGTTTTAACTTTTATTTTAGGTGCACTAATAGCAAATATCACAACTGTCAGCATATCCAGGAAAACTAAGTTTTAAGATTCTCTGGCCGGGTAGTAGTTAGTTATATTAATAATAATAATATTATGTGGGCTGCTATTAATCTTCAAGGTCCAAAATGGTGGCTGCTAGTACTAGCAGTTAGTGTGCACTGGGAATATTTGTGACCAGCACTACTAAGTGTTTGAGTGGGAAACACATACAGATTTAGGAGAAATACCATGGGACACATGGGAAATGTCTCATGAATATTTTTACATTGCTTATAAGCAGAATTATCTCTTGGAGAGACTGTGTTCAATTAAAAGTATTAGTAAAATGAAGTTCATCTGTTTCATGTCACTTTTTTATAATGTGACTACAACGTTTAAAATTACACATGTGGTTCACACTGCTCTTCTAACACTGTTAGAAATGATCTCATTTTGCACAGAATATATTTAGCTCGCCAGAAGCAGCTTCACCCTTTCCAGAAGAAGGGGTGGGGCTGTAGTAGCAGTAAAGGCACGAGAACATGCTTCACTGTGAAGAGACCTGCTTCCTGACCACCTCTGTCTCCTCTCTCCTAATTCCCAAGTCAGTGCACATACATCAGATTGGCAAATTTTTATTGAGTCTCTATGATTCTAGAATTTTATCTAAAGTGATGGGAACAGATTTCAAAATGTTATATAGACATGTACATAACACACACACACACACACACACACACACACACCAATTGCATACTTGCCTTTCAGCAAGAGGCCAAGTCAATACTCTTTAAATTTCTTAATGAATATGCCAGCCATGTTTTAAATAATTTGCCTACTGGCAGACATTTAGATTTTTATTAATCTCTGAGAAACGTAGGCTTATTAGGAAAAATCAAAGACAGATGCTGTCTCCAGTCAAACCTCAACATGTCCTGACACACTGGTGGTTGGTTTTACCAGGTGAAACAAAAGGCTGCCGGCCTCCAGGAAATGATGACTTTTCTCCGGAAGAGACTGGAGGATGATGAGGCTGTACAGCATGAGATTGAGAGAGTGTTCCATGAGCTCATCCGGTAATTGGAACCTCTCAGGCTTATTCCTTCATATTCACAGTGTGAATTGGGCCAGCTCTTTCAAGCAGGGTTACCACTGCAGAGACAGCCTCTTGCCTGACTGGTCCACAGCTGGCTCTGCCTCAGTCCTGGCACTGTGTTGAAAGGTTCTATTGTATAGAGTGCACCTTGTTACACAGGGCTTGCTTCAAAAGAGAATTTGCCATGTGTGCTCTTAACACAAAGAAGCAAACTTTGGGAGAGGGGAGAATTGTAGTTTTGTGTAAATCTGCTCCTACCACATAAAAGCACGAAGAGCCAGTCTCTGCCAGTGGAGACCTTGGGGCTCAAAGCTGAGTGGAACCAAGCAGATTTCCAAACAGTTTCTCCACAAACACCCGCAAGATTTGTATTTTTCTTCATGGAGCCTGGTGATTTGCCTGAATGCTTTGTATAGTCTTTACTTCAAAAAAGTATATACCCACATGGATAAATACATCAGTGATGCTCCCAAATTCATCAGTATACCTGAGTTTTAGGTCCAGGCTATAGGGCGAATACAAATTAGGCAACAGATTTGACAAGTAGCATATAGATTTAGTATTGTTGGTATATTATCTAAAATCAATAAGGTTGCCACATGGTGGTAGTGCATGCCTTTAATCTCAGCACTAGGGAGGCAGAGTCAGGAGGATCTCTATGAGTTCAAGGCCAGCCTGGTCTATAAAGTGAATCCCAGGACAGCCAGGACAGACTGTTACCCTGACTCAAAAGACAAACAAACAAACCAATAAGAACATAATTTTAATAGATTTGCTATTCAAAATATTCTGCTTCATTTTAAAAATTCTTTTCATTACAATCAAAACTACACCATTTTTTTTTTCTAATAGTAAAAGTTCAGGACTAATTCTGCCCCTGCTGTTGTTTGAGCAACCCAAGTAGAATTCCAGATCAAGTGAGGAGGCACTTAGAGGAACTTCCTGGAAGGGGTCTTCATGCTACTCAGGGTGTCTTCCATAGGCTGCTTAGAATGTCATTTCTCGGATAATAGGTGAAGTTTGAAATCTATGTATACTATAGATACCCCTTTTGAAGTCTATTTCCATTTAGATTACAGGAAGAGAAAGTGAAATTCCAGGTGAATTTGACAATACAAATTCTTCTTAAACAAGGACAAGTAGAACTGGAGAATTTCCAGTTGATTCTGGAATATTCTGATGCAATTCTCATCAACAAGAACATAATTGAAGACTTAAATTCTGTGATTCGGGTAATTATAGTTTTTGGACATATTGCCTTTTGTACAAAATAATTTATCATTTCCATGGTAACTGTGCTGGCTAGTTTTATGTCAACTCTACACAAGCTAAAGGGAACCTCAACTGAAAAAAATGCCTCCAGAAGATCGGGCTGTAGGCAAGACTGTAGTGCATTTTCTTAATTAGTGATTGATGGGGGGAGGGTTCAGCTCATTGTGGGTGGGGTCACCCCTGGCCCTAGTGGTCCTGGGTTCTGTAAGAAAGGATTACTGTGTGAGCTATGAAAAGCAAACTAGTAAGCATCACTCCTCCATGGCCTCAGCATGAGCTTCTGCCTCCAGGTTCCTGCCCTATCCTGACTTCCTTCAATGATGAACAGCGATGTAGAAGTGTAAGCCAAATAAACCCTTTCCTCCCCAAATCGTTTTTGATCACAGTGTTTCGTCACAGCAACGGTAACCCTAAGACAGTAACTTTAATTCAGTTTCATCAGTGTTTCGTCTTAGTGGCTGCCATTACATTAATCCATAGAACTTCATAAATGTGCCCAGATTGTAAATATTTTTAAAATCTCCCTAGATGATTCTAAGGTACATAAAGTTCAAGACACTGAGGCTAAGTATCCATTCTAATATGCCTTAGTTTATATAAAGTTTATATGTCTCAGTATATAATTACTTGATTTATGAAACTCTGTTGTCTAATAATTACAGTTCTGGTCTTAGATATGAGAGGCCCCACCCCACCCCTACTCGTGATTTAATCTAGCTAAGGTTTGCCGATCTTACTGATCTTTTTCAAAGGGCCAGCTTTCAATTTCACGGATTCTATTGCTCTCCTGTTTTCTATTTCATGTGAAGTTAATGATGCAGACTCTTTTTTTCCTGTGTAACAAGAAAATCTGAACCAGTGCCAGCTTAGTTTTAGCAGTATTCAAAGCTCTGCCCTACTAATGCTCTGCCCGCCCCTCCCTCTCTGTTCTGTGTTCGCTCTGTCTTCCCATATTATGTTCTCATTTACACTGATTCATAGACTTCTGTGTGCCTTTTTCTCTTAATTATATGAGAGGAAAGGAGTAATTAGGAGTCAGACTGGATTTTACATTTACTTTGTATTCATATTTGTAAGTAGTATTTTTATCGTTTTCTTTGAGTGTCTTGTACTATCTCTTCTTTTGATTTGAAGGACTTCCTATATAGTGTCTCTTACAGAGCAAGTCCACTGCAATGGGTTTTCTCCACCCACTCAGTTCCTCTCAAAATCTCGTTTGTTTCTCCTTTGAAATAGTCCACTCTATGTTTCGTTTTTTGAGAGAAGGCTGACCTCAAACTTGAGATCTTTCCACCTCAGCCTTCCGAGTGCCAGGACTACAGGAGCCAGCCTAGCCTTCATTTGGGAAACACTTTCTATAACTACAAGATTCTTAAATTCTTGACTGACAGTTTGTGTCAGGTTTTCTTCCTGTTTGGTCTCACTATCTTCCTCCTTACTTTTCTCTAGGAGTGTATGATTTGGTAGGGTTTGCTTTGCTCTGCCTTTTCTTTCTTCCTTTCTTTTTTTTTCCTTCTGCCCTTTCCCTAGCCAAAATCATCCTCCTGAGGCAGTGTTTGCTGTTCTCTGTGACTGAAGGCCTTGCTCTGAGGGAAAAGGTTAGCATTTCCTAAGTGCTGGTCCCAGTCTTTCTCCAAGACTAAACCACCAAAGTAGACTCAACTTTCTGCCTTCTCCGTGTTCCTGGTAAGCACGAGGGTGGTGGGTATTTGCAGAATATGCCGTGTTTAGCCAGGCTTGGTAATACCTGGAATCTCACAACTCAGGGGCCAGGGCAGAAAGATGTAAGTTCAATGCTGGCCTAGACTACATACCAAACCATGATCTTGTCTCAGAAAATCTTAAAATCGTGGGTTGAGCGTCTAAATAGATAATTAACTGATGCTAGAAAGATTGGATGGTTGTAGCTTTGGCTAAAGCCATAGAGTGAAGAGTTTTGACCTTTGTTATTTTGAGATGTATTTAAAACATTCCAGTGGAATGTCCAGCCTGACAGAGTTCAGAGTTGAAACACACTCTTTATAGAGCACATGTAATAACTCTATCAATTATTACATACTACTTCTAGGTCATTAAAGCCATGAGATTGCTCAAGGCAACCTAGGAAGTCAGGTAGACCAAAAATAGGGAGTTTGTGTGTGTACCTCCAACTGAGCTCTGAAAGGTCCAGTACAGAAGACAGGAAAGGAGATGGAGGACAAACTAGTAAAGCAGGGGAGAACACTAGAACAGTGTCTCCTAGACACCCAAGAACAAAGATCCCAGGGAGTAGAGAGATGTGTACATAGAGTCAACTACTTGACAGTAGTCTCAAGAAAGTCTCAAGAGGACAGGGTGTCCCTAGTGAGGGCAAGGGTCACATGACATGGGAAGTAAAGGCACTGATGTAAGTGCACCCTACAACACTGGCTGAGGTAATGGTAGAAAGGAGGTGTAGCTCTCAAACAGTAGCTCTCGGCCTTACCACCCTTGACATCTGGGACAGACTGTTTTCTACGGGGGCTGCCCTGTGCTTTGCAGGCTGCGTAGCGTCATCCCTGACCTCTACTCACTAGATACCAACAGCAACCTCTCTGGCTGTGGCAACCCAAATATAAACCAAAGCAAACCCTATGCCAGGTCAATATGCTTTCCTTGGCAGAGAATGCTTAAACTTTTAGAATTTATGAGCTACTGGTGGCCAAATGAAGTGTGTGAGCATGGGGGTAAGGGAACTGAAATACAATTTAAAAAGTCATAAAAAGTAGGAAATTGAAGGAGTTTCAGAGACCAGGCTATGATCAAAAGATGCAGTAGGATGTAGCTTAGTGGCATGTGCTTCAAAAAGCTAGATTTTGGAAAGCGAAGAGAAAGAATGCAAAATGTTAACTAGTGGGATTCATATATAAATTGATTGACTGACTGACAGCACAGCCCAAGCTGGCTGAGAACTTATTGTGTGATCAAAGCTTATCTCATTCTTTGGGGCAATCTTCTGATCATAGCTTCCCAAGTCCTAGAATCACATGTTGAAGCCATCACACATGGCTATAAATATATTTTAGAGACATGATAATTTCATTTTTAGTAATCTCAGGATAATTTTTATTTAATTTAAATAAACATTGTCTATAGTGAGATTCCTTAATTTGATTAATATTAAATTGATAATGTAGTATTAAATACTTCAGAGTTAACTGAATACCTAATATTTTGACAAAATTTAATGCATTTATTATTTAATGTAAAATATTCCTGAAGTATAAGTTATTAAGTAACCTATATGAATATGTGACTATATTGCATCTATGAATATATAACCTAATACAAATATATTAAATAACTGTTATTCCAAGTGAAATAATAAAATAGCAGGGTGTTTTATGTGTCCAATCTGACTTTTTTCTTTGCTACCAGTTACCAGGTAGATGCCAGTATGCCTAGCCATGTTAGCCACATGCTTTACCCAGACTATTAATGCGAAGACATGGAAGCTTCACACATACAGGTTATAGATACAGTCATAGAAAGCAGCTTCAGATCGTCTTCAGTTCTGTACACATCAGTGTGACTGTTCATGTGCCCTCTTAGACTCAAGGACAAAAGAAAGTTGCCAGCATGATGGAAAGTAAAGAAGTGCACAAAGGGATCTATCAGATTGAGTGGGAGCACAAGAAAATGGAGATGGAAATGGAAGATCTGAACCAGAAGGCCTGGGATATCCAGATGCTCTTCTTCTCCAGAGACCGTCAAAAGGCAAGTCTCCCGCCGTCTCCCCCATCCATGCAAACGCTCACTTACTTGGAAGCCTCCCTGGTGGCAAGCACATCCCACACCAGGTGTGCTCCTGTCTGTGAACACACCTGAGCTGGTTTTCCTAGAGGTTTACCCAGGTGTGCTCCTGTCTGTGAACACACCTGAGCTGGTTTTCCTAGAGTTTTACCCAGGTGTGCTCCTGTCTGTGAATTGGTTTTCTTATGTTTCATTTGCTGATTTCATGGCTCTATTCTATTTGCTTATTTCTCATCTCTTGACACACACACTGGCTTAAAAATGTGTCAGCTTAGTTGTCTCTACTATACCTGTCCCGGTTTAGTTATCTTTTCTTTCTTGGTCTCCTGTGTCTGCCACTGGCCAGTCCTCCATTTTCACTGGTTTAGAATGTGATATACTGTCTTACAATTAGCTTCTTGGCCTGTGCAGGCACTCCGTCAGTCTCTCTTTCTCTCCCTATCCCTTTCCTCCTCTCCCCTCTCTCAAAATCCATTTAGTTATGTTTATACTGCTATTATACGGAATTCCGACTCGACCCTAGCAACATCAGTACCCTGCATATTTTAAACAATAGTCTCTAACTACCAAAGTCCCAAGTAGACATTGTCTTTCAACTTGCCTTTAGGGCAAACAAGAGGAAAAGATACCACCACTATGCCTCTTATCCATCAGTATTCTGAAGTGAGAAGAGGGTGGGGAGAGGGGAGGGGAGGGGTATGGGTGCTATGGAGGCTAGAGATTAACATTAGATGTCTTCCTCAGGGAATTTGCTCACATATTTCAGCTAGATTGGCTGATCAGCAAGCTCCAGGGGCCCCAGTGCTGAGTTCACATGGGTGCTAGGAACCTGAACTCAAATCTTCATGCTTGTATGGCAAGAATTTTACCAAATGAGCCATCTCCCAGGCACCTAAATGGATTACCTTTTGCTCACACTGGCTCTTCAACCTGGAATGCCCCCCACACACGCCATTTCTTCCCTTACTCTGTTCTTATCCCTCCCCTCCTCCCACCGTATTTTCTAGTTTGTCATTTTAACTTATGGCACATCCTCCAACAGCCTTTCTTGATTTCTCAAGTATAGAGAAATCCTACTCCATCACAAACTGCCTTTGAATTTGTTAACACTTGACATGCCTTCTGGTAACTATGTGTGTTCTTTTCTTGAAGGTGAGGTCATATTATTTGTCTTAGTAACTATTTGGTATCTTTAACCAGAACACTATTAATGTATGACCCAGGTGAGACACTGTTTGGTGAGCTGAACGAATGAAAAACTGTTAAGTATTTGTAATGATTAACATATAGGTGTGTATTGATAGCTAAATACAAATAATTATAGCACAAAAGCTGAATCAATCTTAACATAACATAAACTGTAATTTTCAAAACTGTTCAGAAACAGGGGGAAAAAATCATCCTGACATGTCTGTTATCTTTTCCCCCCCTCTTTAAGTACCTAAATGAACCAAACTACGAGAATGTGATTGCTATTGAGATTGGAATAATGGAGCAAACCATTAATGTTATAGACAAGGTCAGTCTCAAGCATATCAATCGTTATACCATTGGTGGTGAATCGTGTGGACAAATGTTTCAGTTATGAACCCAGACAGAACCTAACAGAAACTTGGTAACTTAGTGATGTTCATGATAATCTGAGGTCTCTGAATGTTTGTCTTGGCAACCACAGCCAGTGGTAGAGACTACAGCATTTCTCTGGGAACTCATGTGGATGAATGTGGATTTGCTTTTACATTGGTGAAATCTGAGCCACACAAGTACTGTGTTCCTGGCATTTTGAACTGTTCCTCTTTGTACAGCTGGATAACAAAATCAGTTTTACTACATAGCATTTAAGATGGAAGCAAATGTTTTTAGATGTTCATTTTAAAGACCATATACAATCTTTTCTAAAGTGTAGTATTAATATCTGTCTCTTAACCAAAAATGAAGTCACTACTAAGGACAGACCATACAACAGGCACTAGCGGTATAGTAAGTTATCTTAGTGGTGATAAAATATTTTAAAAGTCCAAATGTTTAAAACTATTTTTTCAAAACTGTTTTTGGGGTTTTGTGGAACCAAAACTTTCAGACTCACAAGAAGAATGTAGAACACTGCAAAAAATTACTCAGAAAGTTGGGAAGATACAGTAATCAGAAAGATATAGCAAATTATATGCTGAGCTGCAATCTACGGGAAGAACTAGTGGCTATCTCAGAGAGACAAGACATTTGCAATGAAATGGGTGAGCGTTTTGTTGTTGTTTTTCTTCAGTCAATTAAAGGTAATTGATCCTGGTATTCTAACCAGTATCATTATTATCTGCATAACCAAAAAGCTACCAGCGTCTCTTTCACACAAATGATCTTAAATGTTGTTCCTGTACTAAAAGTGCCGGTCATAATTCAACTAATTCCTTTCTCCATTTCTGGATTAGGATCTAAGTTGACTTGTGAAAAGATTGCCAAAGAACGGTACGATAACCTGCTGAAGAAACAGAAGCTAACAAACATTTCCAAACAGCAGGCTGAGCAGATCTCCATCCTGCAGGCTGAAGTTGAAAGACTAAGGATGAAAACATTCCCCGCCCTCATTCCCATGTAGAATGCCAGTAAGAGCAGAAAGCAAACTAACTACTCCAAAATAACGTAACTTGGAGAAAAATGACTTCTCTTTCTCTCTTATCAGGGAACTTAAGTATGTTACCTCTTAGCTGCACATTTTTTTAGTAATAAATTAAGTTTAGGTTAGTCAGTATGCAACTATTTGTCCTACATAAATAAATGAGTAAAATACCATAAAGTGTCATTTGTATTCATTAATGAACAGTGGTTTTCTGCCAGGAAACACTCAAGATTTATTTTGTTCAATTAAAATTACCAGAATCTTGGGAGGCTTTACCAGTGAAACCAAAATCATGACTAATTTCTTAAGTCATTTGTAAATTCCATTTGGAAACACAGTCTTCCTTACCTATGTAACAGAATAATTTTTCACCCTAACAAGGTTCAGTATACAAGTGCTCATTTCCCTGAAATGGTTCATTCTACTCATCTAAACAACACTAACCCTGTAGTAAGACTCACTGGCAAACAGAAGTCCATTCACCCTTCATAGCCTGTGGTGCTGCGTTCCAAAGTGGTCTCATCAAGATCATTTATTATAGTCTCCAAGTGAGGTCTCTGTCCCACTTTCCTGCAATTTAAAATCTAAATTTAAGCTTAATACACAACACCATTATCTAATACATACTGGAACAGATAAAGCAAAAGAACGACGACAACGATGCTTCATTTAGGAGGACACTTGTAATCCCAAGGACCATGAGATGGCTGTCAGCCTGGGCTACATGGGACTCTATCTCAAATAAATTTCCACTTAAGTTTGCTTTGTCCTACTCCAGTGTATTAGTCTTATACTTTATTATTTTCCCAGGAAGCCCGTTTTAGTTTTCTAATGATGGAAAGGGGGTGTGGATTTGAATGTGAGAGGAAGGAGGGAGGAACTGGGAGGAGAGGGAAGGGAAACTGCAATCAGGATATGTTATATGAGAAAAAAAAGCTACTTTCAATAAAAGGACAAAAAAGTTTAAAACTACTATCACAGATGTAAATAAGTAGGAAAATTTCGTGTGGATGAAAATGTGAACAGCAGGACCAACACCTTCTTGCTGACTTCCCTCACAACTAAGACTACAAGGAGTCAGTTTAGCTGATTTAGCAGAGAACCCTTTGGTAACATTTCTGAGACATGATTTTCTGTGAAGCACGGAGATGGAACCAAGAGGTGTGTAAGGTAAGATGTGCAGGCACCTTATCTTTAGCATGGGAGTGCCTGTTCTCTGGCAATTGCAAGTCAACCATGGATACACCAGACTTGATTTTCCTCTTTTCTTGTATTATAAATGCCATGGCACTTAAATTAGTTGCCTAGATATTCCATGAGCTAAAAGACAATGTCCTAATTTCCACTGGCTAATTCTGGTCTTAATAGACCAAGTAGCCCGTGCCATTTGTCTTGATCACCAGCTCTAGGTGGTGGTCCTTCCTCAGCTGCCTCAGCTTTTAAGGCATGGATGAGTTGGGCTTGAAGAACTCCTGCTCATACTACGTTTAGAAGCTGAGCATGTGCCATGCACTCTAACTCATCTCTCAATACTATCCATGGTGCCAACGCCTCTCAGCCTGTGCTGAACAGCAATTATGTGAAGTTTTTGACAATTCATTACCAACAAGTGGCATAGTCAATTAGGTCAAGAACAGAACAGCCTTAGGTACAGGAAGATTAGACTCACAGATGGCAAGAGGGAATTTATATGAGTATATGGTAGTTGGGAATGTTATAGTAGTTGTGTCAAACAAGTGTTGGGTCAAGTTCTTAGAGTGCTCAAGAATAGAGGCCATTTACAAAGTAATATGGAAATATTTTTTTCTAGATCCCAAAGCAGAAATTGTGAAGACTTCAGGAATAATTGGCAAATAGCACAAGGGAGACACTGATCCACAAAGGTCTCCCTCCTCTTACTGGTCTGTACAGACCGGCTATAATTAAGGTGCCAGCCTTTCTTCTCCCAAGGTTGTACAGTAGCTCGAACAGCAGCAACATGCTTTTCCCACTGGGTTCATTCTAAAGTCTCAGCAACTGGGCCTGCTTAAGTCACGTCTCCACATACAGCTAAGATGACAGGTATCCTAGTTATTAAACCTCGATAGGTTCCCTCCTGGCTAAGGGCTCACTATGAACTCACCAGCCCTTCCAATTTACATCACAGATGAAGGCAACTGTGGAAAACCTTCCATACCAAGAACACCTCCATGTAGGAAGTAAGGATATGAAGCCTCCCAAGAAACAGATTGTCATTTTAGTAAATGAGGAAAACAAGAAACAAATCTGGAGAAAAACTGTGAACTGTTTAATTACTTGCTAGATTAGCAGATGGAAAGATATATTAAGTAGATGAAGACAAGGTTCATAAACTCAGGAGGGACAGGTTACATTTAGGCCAGGTGAGGTTTAGACATTCAAAAGAATACTTTTTAACACTGAATATAAAATCTTTTGCCACAAACTCAATGTATTAAACCTGGTTTCCAGAATTATCCAAACTTCCTTTTAAACATTATTTAATTTTGTAATACTTAAATATTTTCTTTAGCAAATATCCAAATATCCAAAATACGAAGCTTCATGTTATAATTTTGTTTCGTATCAGAATATCCTAAACTGTTCCAGATACCTTTCTCTAAGCCACAACAGCTCACATCTTCCTTCCCTTCAAGACACTCTTCTCACATTGTATTCTCAAAGATATTCCGTAAAGGCCAAAATATAGCTCAGGAATAGAGCACATTTGAGGCCCTGGGCATGAGTCCATCACCCCAAAAGGAGAGGGGGGAAAAAACAGAACAAAACAAAAAACAAAAACAAAACCACAACTTATCAAATCCCTGTAAATTCTTCCTCACTTCTATTATAGTGCACGACTTTCTCATCTACCCCATAGTAGTCGATGAGCTCGGTGAGGCTGAGTTTCTCGTCATCCTCAGACATGACTTCCTGCAGCTCATAGAGCAGCTGCTGGCTGCACTTACGCCACTTCTTTATTAACATCTCTAACTCAGACAGGTTATTCTGAAACAGAAGAAATAAGCCAGTCAGTAATCAGATAGTCGTGTTTTAACTTCCACCATCACAGCAGCTAAACCAGTTCCTGTCCAACTTTAAAAGCTAATACCCCAGGCATAAAGGTCACTATAACCTCTAGGCAAACTTTAACCATGGGGGGAAAAAACAAATTATTAAATCAGCATATTAAGCTTAAGGAGAAACTAATGTTCTCAATACATTTCTGTATTACTACAGTACAGTTGTACCTTCCTAATTTTTCTGTGAACCTCAAATTGTTCTTAGGTGAAAATATTCTAGTTAAAAATATTTCCAATATTTAGAAATAAGTTACCTTTAGAAAAGTCAAAACTTCAAATCCACAAATAAGATATGATGTACTATCATGCACTCCATGTTTCTGGGAAAGAATGGGATGTGATATGGGCAAGAACTATCCAGATAAAAGATGTCAGCTTCTTCCAAACATTCATATTCTACTGACTTCAATCTACCGGAGCTGAAACCTAAAATCTGCATTTTCTCAAATAAAATGCCTGACATTTTATTTAGAGACACAAAGTCACTACTAAAAGTACTTTCTATACTGTAATCTGTGATCTATCTTTAGTTCTACTGCCATCCCTTTCTGTTCCCAGTGTATTTCCACCTAAAAATGTATACTTCTTAAGTTTCAACCATGCATTGAAAAGCTGAAGCTCTTTAATTTTACCTCACGTTGTCAGGGCTCGTCTACCTCACTCCAAATCAATTACTTCTACTTTGGTTAAGCTGTGGTAAGCCAGGTTTCTGCTTATTTGGTTTCTTGCTTATCACACTAAATGATTTCCAAATTCTGAAATTACTTTTTAATAATTTATATAAAAATTATTCAATGGTTCTGGAATTTTTCTCACCTTTATTCTATACATTTTGACAAGTTTCAATCTCCGAAGAAGTTCTTCCTTCTCTTGAACCTGCTTTGCCAACTTTGCTTTTTCTTCCTTCAATCTTTCTTTAGTATCTTCACTCTCAAAATCACTTTGGAAGGCACTGGATGACCCAGTATCAAGTGGCTTAAACTTGCATGTGTTTGTATTCTCCGAGCTGTCTTTTTCGGATGCACTGTCTTTGCGTTTCAAACTCCCTTGGGACTCTGAATAGCTTTTTTCTCTCGATGACACTCCTGGTTCTGAAACCGTCTCATCATTTTCCTCCTTCTCTACTTTAAGTCGCTTCACCACACTACAAAAAGAATGAGATGATGGCCTTGCCTTCTTTAATCTCTCTTTAAGTGTTCCACTCATAGGCTGAAAAAGACACAAAACAAAAATGTTAGGAAAGCACTGTTCTGTTTGTTTTTCAAGACAGGACTTCTTTACGTGGCCCTGCCTGTCCTAGAACTAGGTCTGTAGACCAGACTGGCCTCGAACTCACAGAGACCCACCAACATCTGCCTCCTTGGATTAAAGACATGTACCACCACTGCCCGGCTAAGAAAACATTCTTCAAGTGAATCAATCTATTAGAAATAAAGGCTGTATACACTTCTATGGTAAGTACACTGGGTGGCTGTCTCCACAAATCTCAAGCAAGTATCACCAGTGTCTTTATTTCCCAGAAGCTCCCTTTAGTCTTCCTAAACTAGGCCTGAGACACTTCTCCCAGTCATTAGGTGTATTTGTTCAGCAGCTAGTATTTGCCTGGCAACACTAGAAATGCTTCAAAACTACAGACTAGGGAAAAGACCTGTCACCAGACTTCCCCTAACGAATAGTATACCGATTCAAATTTGAAGAATCTCAATAACTTGCTAAGACACTCAACAAAATGAACTGATTCAGGAAGAAAATCTGGCAAAGACAGGAAGGCACAGGCCATACACCGACACTCCAGTGTTCTTAAAACTGCCACTACCAGAACACTTTGAAACACTGAGGGGTAGAAAGCAAGATTTTCATACTTGTTTTCCTAAACTGTTTGTTTGGGGTGATGGTGGAATCTCACTGGTCCTGGGAGTGTCAGGTAAAGTTGATGCCGAATCTGCTGTGCTCTCCATCTTGGTGGATGCTGAATCTGATTCACTCTCCATCTTGACAGATGATGGACCTGATTTGCTCTCCATCTTGGTGGATGTTGAATCTGATTCACTCTCCATCTTGACAGATGATGGACCTGATTTGCTCTCCATCTTGGTGGATGCTGAATTTGATTCACTCTCCATCTTGATGGATGCTGAATCTGCTGCACTCTCTATCTTGGTGGATTCTGAATCTGATTCACTCTCCACCTTGATAGATGCTGAATCTGATTCACTCTCCACCTTGATAGATGCTGAATCTGATTCACTCTCCATCTTGATAGATGATGGATCTGATCCTCTCTCAGTCTTGATAGATGATGGATCTGATTCGTTCTCAATCTTGGTGGATGCTGAATCTGCTGCGCTCTCCACCTTGGTGGATGCTGAATCTGATACGCTCTCCACCTTGGTGGATGCTGAATCTGATTCACTCTCCATCTTGATAGATGATGGATCTGATTCGCTCTCAATCTTGATGGATGCTGAATCTGCTGTGCTCTCCATTTTGGTGGATGCTGAATCTGATTCACTCTCCATCTTGATAGATGATGGACCTGATTCGCTCTCAATCTTAATAGATGATGGATCTGATTTGCTCTCCATCTTGGTAGATGCTGAATCTGATGAGCTCTCCATCTTGACAGATGCTGAATCTCCTGCACTCTCTATCTTGGTGGATGTTGAATCTGATGCTCTCTCTACCTTGATCGATACTGAATCTGATGAACTCTCCATCTTGGAATCGAACTTCTGATTTCTTTCTAAAAAGGAAAAGGCATGGCTGGTGATCATCTTAATATCTCAACACAGACCTTAATTTTTTCAACAAAATTTTCCTTAGTGTACAAAAACACCAAAAAATCCAGCAATTTCTTCCAATTATATATAACTGATTTATTCTAATTCCTTTCACAGTTTTTCATTTACTTCTCCACATGAGTAGAAACAAGGTTTTGTTTTTTCACAACAAATTAAACGGTTAGTATGCCATTGACTCTTACTAGTCTCCATAAAATATCTCCAAAATTTTGCACTCCGGGGAGAAGGGGAACTAACTTTACACAGTCGAGATTGTTTTTTAAATTTTGTAAGTAAAAGCAATACAGCCAGAATAATGTAAACATCGTGTATCCTAAAAGCTTTGTGTCTGGAACCAGGAATGCTCTAGGCAGAGGCTTTAGAAAGCAGTGTCAGCCCTGCCTGTTTTGTTTTACCGGGGAAAGAAGCCTCCTCAGAACCCATCTCCTCCACCACGGTCTCCTCCCCCAACTCCGTGCTCACCTGCCCCCAACTCCTCCTGGGCCCCACCATCTCCTTCCACGGTCCCAGCGCCTCCTCCCCGGGCCCCACATCTCCCGCCCCGGGCCCCTCCTCCTCCTCCCCGGGCCCCATCATCTCCTCCCCGGGCCCCTCCTCCTCCTCCCCGGGCCCCATCATCTCCTCCCCGGGCCCCCTCATCTCCTCCCCGGGCCCCTCCTCCTCCTCCCCGGGCCCCTCCTCCTCCTCCCCGGGCCCCTCCTCCTCCTCCCCGGGCCCCATCATCTCCTCCCCGGGCCCCATCATCTCCTCCCCGGGCCCCCTCCTCCCTCGCCCTCCCCTGCCCCCTCCTCCCTCGCCCTCCCCTGCCCCCTCCTCCCTCGCCCTCTCCCTACCTCCCCGCCCCCTGCCCACAGCGCCATCTCCCCTGCCCCCGCCCCTCCCCACAGCCCTCCACCCACAGGACGGGGAGGCCGCGCTCCGGCGCCGCCGGGAAGAGCTCCGCCATCAGCCCCACAGACACCCGGAGGCCTGGCGCCCAGAGCGGCCGCGGGGAGCAAGCACAGTACCTTCCTCAGTCATGCCCGTGGCGGAACAACAGCCCCGCAGCCAGCGTAGCGGCCACAGCAGACGGCGTCGCCCCGGAGGCGGGGCCCGGGGGAGGAGAGACGTGCGATTGGCCAGCGTGCCCGGAGCGGGCGGGTGTGCGGCGTCCGGCTCCCGACCGCGCGTGCGCGCAGGGCCGCCGACCTCAGCCAGGGGGCGGGGCGGGGCGGGGCCGGGCGGGCGCGGCTGGTGATTGGCAGGGCCGGCCGGCGCGCTTCGGGGCCCAGCTGCGCGCGTGCGCGCGCGGCCGCCGGCCCGGGGACGGCGCCCGGGAGAAGGCGGCGCTGAGGCTGTGCCCGGGCCTGAGGGGGGCGCGCGTCCGCCCCTGCGCGGGCTGCCTTCTCCTGCTGCCCCCTGGGGGCGTGCCTCGGGGAAGCGCGCCCGGGAGAGGAGGGGAGGGGAGAGGAGTTTTCCTCCGACGTGGCAGGGCCGGAAGCCGCGGGGCCCGCTCGGCTCCCTGCTGGCGAGCCCTCGCCGAGCCTTTTGTGGTCAGCTGCAGGCACGCAGGAATCGATTCGGGCTCCCGCTGGCCTTGCCGCCTCGCCCTCCATTCCATTCTGCCCTGTCCACCCCGGCGTGGCTTCACACGTTATGGTCAAATCTGAGAAAACGTAACCTAAGGGAGTTCTTGTGGCCCAGGGCAGGAAGCAGAGCGATCGACTGGGTCGGTCCAGAATTCAGATATTTGAGATCCAAGCCCCTTGCTAGACCCAGGGAGGCTACAAATTTAGACGGAAAACGCCCCTCCGTTTCCGGTGTTCCGGATGTTCGGTTGCTAGGCAACCGCCAAGGGAACTAGCTTGGGTGGAGCACCGGGCGTAGGGAAAGCAGCTGAGTAACTTGTGGGTCACTTGGGAGTTTGTAAAAGGCAAGGAACGACTCTCTTCGCAGACGTATTCTAATGGTGCCTTAAAGCAGCCAGAAGGACGTGATTGTAGAGCCCTAAACTTAATAATGAGGTTATTAGACCTGTAAATGTTGCGGGCAATTAGTTGCCTAGGTCCAAGTGTGTCACCCTGGGGTGGTGGTTTTTTTTATTTTGGTTTCGTTTGGTTTTGCTATGGAGTGTAGCTGCCGTGTACCTCAGTTTGATGGTTTGGTAAATGAGAACATCTACCGCCTAGAGACAGGGGAATTAAATGATAATTTATGAGCGGCAGCACGAACAATTCAAACTACCAAAATCATTTCAATGGCTTCTTTATTCAAGCATACTCGTCATTCCCTGATTGACTTAAAGCTATGTATCACAAGCTTTTATCCCTTACCTTTCTTCCCAAAAGCAAGGATTTTTTTTTTTTTTTTTTTTTTTTTGGCGCTGTGTCCTTCACAATTTCACACAACCTAAGCCATAAATACAAGAAAATTTGGAGCTTCACATGTGACTATCAATAAACATTTTACTCCTAAATGTTTAAGAAACATATGAATTAACCTTGCCAACCAACAACAGAATTTATGACCTTAAGATAAAGGTGTTACTTGCCAGCTCACAGATCACCCTGCCCACTAATTCTTCTCACTTTTTCTTGCTTTGGCTCTTGAAACAATGAACACTCTGCATATTCTGGATGCCCTGAGGCATCAGGATGTTCTTATGAGTCTAAAATCAGCTGCTCCCAAATCCTTTTATTATTACAACCTAATCTTAAAGCTGTGGTTTTGCTAGCCGCGTAAAAGAAAACAATGTCTTGCCTTGCAAATGTCCTGACTTGTTTTTATATGAAGCGGGTGTCTTAAAGTAAGACTGGCCAAACTTTCAAAGGGCCTCTGGACAGTGTCCAGGAGAGTCTGTCAATTCAGACCCATGCTTTTGTTGACCTTTATCTCATCTGTGTGTTTTAAAGTGTCTATGCTCTTCCCACATGTTTGTATTCCACTTACCAGCCTCAATTTAGAGAGATCTGGAATGTGTATACATTGCCCCTATTCAAATGGAAATGAAACTCTGTGGTAAGATGCTTGTCTGTCACTCATGAGGCCCCATGTTTGAGCATTAGCCTGAAGAGAAGGAAAAAAAAAAAAAAAACTAAAAATATCCATTAACGTTTCCGTGTGTCTTTAGACAAATATTGCCATGTCTTGAGTAACCTGAAATCTATTTGGCTACAAAGAATTTAGTGTTTGTCACAAAAGATGTTTGCATCTTCATATGAAATTTTCAAGTACTAAAAAGTACTGCCTTGTGAGCCAGACAACAAAGACTCCTTATCCAACCATAGAGAACAATGGAGAATTGTCCTGGGGCTCAGGGATAACAGTAATTAATTTCATCCCAAGTAAGGTTTTCTCTGTTTTTAACATTCTTCAATACCCAAGGCTTCTATTGACGCCTTCATTATTCATCAGGGAGTGGTAAAAAATGTGTCTTCCATTGTTGCTATGATTACTGTTGATGACATGATGACATATACCTAGATGGTAAAATGTGTCTTCCATTGTTGCTATGATTACTGTTGATGGTATGATGACACATACCTAGAAATTTATGAGATTTTTTTTGTTTCATTATTCATTTTTTAAGTGCAGGAAAACAATAGTATATAGTCTTTCTTTCTATCCCTCCCCCTCCTCTTTTTTCTCTCATTTTTCCCATGCAACAATAAAGATATTTTAAAGCACAATTAAAGTTTTCAGTACATTTCTTTTTCTTTTAACCTTGCAGCTTTGGCATTTAAAAACAAAAACCTAGCATTAATTCAGGATAATTTATTTTGTTTCATGGATTTTCTATATTGACAAAAAAATTTGAGTAAGATGTTGGTGGCTCATGGCTTTAATCCCAACACTTGGAAAATAGAGACAGGCAGATACTGAGTTCAAGGACAGACTGGTCTACAGAGTGAGTTTCAAGACATCAAGAGCTGCTACACAGAGAAACCTTATTGAAAAGTTTCTGCACCCCAATAAGCCTGTCAGCTGATAACAACAATCCTAATCAGATGAAATCAAACCAAATTAGAAAAGGCCTGTGTTTAATGACTACAACACTTGATAGCCTTCCAGCCTCCCAGAGAGGAGACAGGAAAGGGACCAGAAAACTGTGGTGGATAGTTTAAATACCTTGTGAGAGTGGCCTTGAGCATCTCTGGGGGAGGGGTCATCTTTTGGCAGGCTTTCTGAGAGATAACAGAGGCAGCTTGGGTAGAACTTCCACCAGAACATTCCAGACACTTCCCGTCTATAGATGCCAGGGGCTGAGGTAACACTTAGGGGGGAAAAAAGTTTCATGAAGACATAGCTAGTATCTAAAGGGTTTTTCTTAAGATATAAACACTTGAAAACTATGATTGAATCCATTCATGTGAAGAATTGTAAAAAAAAAATCCACGTGATTAAGTTAAGTGTAGAACAAAAGAACAATTAAGTAAAATTTCTTAACTATCTACTATGGCATTCTCTTACTTATATGTAACTGGGAAATACCTTCAAAAAATCTTGCCTAGGTTTCTCTTGTCAGTGGCATCTTATAGACCCAGCAAGGGTGTAAAGATATTCTTAAGTTTCCTGTTCAGAATAACTATGTGTTTTTTTGTTCTTTCTCTGTTAACTAAAGATCTCATGGGGAATTAAAGATGTATAATTAATCTACAAACCCCAAGATAAAAGGGCTCTTAGTCATTTTAGGCATCCCTAAGAATTCTGCCCCACTAAGTAGGATGGGGACCTAGATGAGGAGATACGATGATGGGAGTCAGTGTTATTGCTGTAAAAACCCTTTCTGACACAAGGCAACTGGGAAGGCTTCTGATAACGAATGTGCAGAATCATGAATGGAACAAAGCCCTCAAGTGCTCCCTTCCGATAGAATTCCTGTTCTTTTATCCCGCCAGATCTGGACTTTCATCAAGTCCATTATAGACCAGAGAGCAACCGAGTCTGTGATTCACTGCTTTTCCCTCGGAGAAGAACAGAGTGATTCAAGTTAGGGTAATGATGGTGATGGAGGGATGATGGTGATGGAGGGAGGGGCTGGGTGGGGATGAGGGAAGGGATTGTGAAAGACAGACTAGAAGAAGACAGTGAGAATCAAAGGATTGCTCAGGCAACAGCTTCCTCAGATCCGTCACTAACGGAGAGATGTCACCCTTGAACCCATTTGAAGAAAAAGGCATCAGGTGTCAGCGAATCCTCAAGCAACTGAACTTGTCTTATAATCATCTTTAACCACCTTGGAGTTTGAGAGATAGCAACTCCCATGATAATTCCACAGTATAGAAATCTGTTTGAAGTGCCGGTAAACATGTCCATTCAGTATCCTATCCTTGCCTCTCATTACTGTTTCGGTCCTGAGGGTATAGACTTCTTGGGGACTTTTTTAATAGGAAGAGAAAACCGGAAATGGGAGTTCAGAGACCGCTCTACCACGTTTGAGGATCTTACTTCTTTCTGTTTGGCATCTACTCTTCCATCTCTTGGCAAGCTTTGATGATAAATATAGTACTGAATCAAACACATGAATTTAGGTTAACCAGAAATTTTGTAGAATAATTCAGGATCTGAGAGCTAGACTAAAACTGAATCTCTTTTCCCCTACCTACCAGTCAGGAGAAAACACAGGTTTCTATTGAAGACACAAAAAGTCTTAGATTTCTATCATCAGCCTTAATAAGCAGCATGAAACCTGCTGGATGCAAATCTCATGAGCAGGCATCAGAATCCCCAGTGGGGACCACCGTCGGTGCACTCCATCCTTCCTCAAGGGCCAAGAGTTCAAAACTGTCCTCAGCAAATTATATGACATAAAGGTCAAAGGTGTGGCTACAATAATAGGATGCTTGATCTTGGCCTTGGCTGTCTTATTCTAAATGACAACAGACATGGTCTGAAGTGTGGTTTCTCCTGACCCTCAAGGCCAGGTAGGGAGAAGTTGAATCTAAGGTGTGGTTACTGAACCGTTAGGGAAAAAAGGAAGAAAAGTCTCTTTGCTCCATATACATGTTAACACATTCCCCTTTTTTGGTTAAGGTATAAGAGTTGTGAAAAGTAAACTCATGGCAATTAGCTGAATCTGCCCTC